TACCATTAGTTGCCTTGAGTGTTTTTTAGTTTCGCAACCGAAAAGCTAGATACAATGTTAATAGACCCAACAGGCAAACAATTGTTGCTGTGAGTTTTTCGGCCTGCGTGGCCATGTCCCAGTAGCATGCTCTCCTGACGTTTCGCCTGCACCTGTGGCTAATGGCATCCTCAGAGGTCTGCTGAAAGTGAGGCAAGTGGAGGGTATACATCCCTGTGGAATAATGTCCAGGGTGGGAGAAAAGACCCTTGTCTGTTTGAAGCAAGTGTGAATGTTGCAGATTGAGTAACTAGTAGCCTTGCAGCTACAAAGCCTGGTTGCTTCCTACCTAAATCTAGGCAAATGTGTTTTATATATCTGTAGAATGATGTTCAGGGTGGGAGAAAGAACTCTTGCCTGCTGGAGTCAAGTGTGAATGCCGCAACTGGATAGTTTTACAATTGAATACCCTTGCAGCTTCAAAGCCTGGCTGCTTCCTGCCTAAATCTAGGCAAGCGGGGTTTATATATCTGTGGAATGATGTCCAGGGCGGGAGGAAGAATTCTTGTCTACTGGAGGCAATTGTGAATGTTGCCATTGGCCAGCTTGATTATTATTGAATAGCCTTGCAACTTCAAAGCCCAGCTGCTTCCTGCCTGAAACCAGGCAAGTGTGGTTTATATATCTGTGGAATGATGTCCAGGGTGGGAGAAAGAACTCTTGTCTGTTGGAGGCAAGTGTGAATGTCACCATTGGCCAACTTGATTAGCCTTGCAGCTTCAAAGCCTGGCTGCTTCCTGCCCGAATCTAGGCAAATGTGGTTTATGTATCTGTGGAATGATGTCCAGGGTGGAAGAAAGAACTCTTGCCTGCTGGAGGAAAGTGTGAATGTCATCATTGGCCAGCTTCATTAGCACTGAATAGCCTTGCAGCTTCAAAGCCTGGTTGCTTCTTGCCTGAAACTAGGCAAGTGTGGTTTATATATCTGTGGAATGATGTCCAGGGTGGGAGAAAGAACTCTTGTCTGTCGGAGGCAAATATGAATGTTGCATTGGGCAACTTGATTAGCACTGAATAGCCTTGCAGATTCAAAGCCTGGCTGCTTCCTGCCTGAAACTAGGCGTGGGGTTTATATATCTGTGGAATGATGTCCACGATGGGAGAAAGAACTCTTGTCTGCTGGAGACAAGTGTGAATGGTGAAACTGGACAGTTTGATTACCATTGAATAGCCTTGCAGCTTCAAAGCCTGGCTGCTTCCTGCCTGAAACTAGGCAAGCGTGGTTTATATATCTATGGAATGATGCCCAGGGTGGGAGAAAGAACGCTTGTCTGCTGGAGGCAAATGTGAATGTCGCCACTGGCCAGCTTGATTAGCACTTAATAACCTTGCAGCTTCAAAGCCTGTCTGCTTCCTGCCCGAATCTAGGCAAATGTGGTTTATATATCTGTGGAATAATGTCCAAGGTGGGGAGAAGGAACTCTTGTCTGCTGGAGGCAAGTGTGTATGTCACCATTGGCCAGCTTGATTAGCAATGAATAGCCTTGCAGCTTCAAAGTTTGGCTGCTTCCTTTGTTGGGAGGTGTTAGCTGGCCCTGATTGTTTCCTGTGGGTATTTATTTATCGTGTCAGGAGCGAACCATTAAAAACAAACAAACAATCAGAGGTGGGTGAAACATCAGGAGAGAATGCTTCTGGAACATGGCCATACAGCCTGGAATACTCACAGCAACCCAATATACAATTTGCTCAGGACTCAAGACAATACTGTAGTTCTACACAGTTTGGTACCATTTGGCTCAACGCTGTGGCATTGTGAGAGCTATAGTTTGGCCAACAAGGCTAAAGATGTTGTCGAACTACATCTCCCAGGATCCGACGGCCCTGAGGCAAAGCAGTCCAAGTGATATCAAACTGCATCAGCTCCACAATGTAGACGCACTGCGTTATTGCCGTCATGCCAACGAAGAGGCTTGCCATAACATATTCCTAGATCGAAATGGGCTGAAGAGCCCCGACACAATCTGCTGCGGCAGACAAGGCAAACCCGGCGCAATTAACGTCGCAATCTTTTGAATAAATGGTTCCCTTTGGCCGCCCGAGCTGTTAAAGACATTAGCAAAACAGTAATTCAAAAGGAAGGCCGGGGACAAAGCGGGGATTAGCTCTCTCATTAAAGGTTCGTCATGCAAGAGAGAACAAGGGTTTGGGGGAAGAGGGGGATCGTGGTAGCCTTTCCATTCCACGTTCAGGCCGAAGGTGGCTTGCATCTCCACTACGCTAGTAGTCACCTGGGTTGGGGTTAGTGGGTCGGGGCTAATAATGGCCTCGGTAGTCACCTTGGTTGGGCTAGCAGTTGCCCCTAATAAGGCTAATGGTCATCTCTGTTGGGGCCAGTGGTCACCTCAGTTGGCAGTAGTGGCCACCTGAGTTTGGGCTAGTAGACATCTGGGTTGGGGCTAAGTGGTTGCCCTGTGTTGGGGCTAGTGGCCCCCTCAGTTGGGCTAGTGGTAGGGCTAATAGTCACCTGTGTTGGGGTTAGTGACAGGTCTGGGATGAGGCTAGCAGTCCCCTCAGTTTGGCTAGTGCTTGCCCCTAGTAGGGTTAATAATCACCAGGGTTGGGACTAGTAATTGCCCTCGGTCAGAGATATTGATTGTCCTTGGTTGGGGCTAGTATGCCCCTCAATTGGGCTAGTGGTTATGCCTGGTAGGTCTAATAGTCACCTGAGTTTGGGCTAGTAATCACCCTTGGTTGGGGCTAGTGGTTTCCCCCAGTAGGGCTAATAGTCACCTGAGTTTGGGCTAGTAATTGCCCTTGGTCGGGGCTAGTGGTTTCCCCCATAGGGCTAATAATCACCTGAGTTTGGGCTAGTAATTGCCCTTGGTCAGGGCTAGTGGTTTCCCCCAGTAGGGCTAATAGTCACCTGAGTTTGGGCTAGTAATTGCCTTTGGTCAGGGCTAGTGGTTGCCCCCAGTAGGGCTAACAGTCACCTGGAATGGGGCTAGTGATTGCCCTGGGCTGAGGATAGTAGTCCCCTCAGTTGGGCTAGTGGTTGCCGCCTGTGTTGGATCTAGTAGTTTGGGCTAACTGTCACCTGGGCTGGGGCTAGTGATTTATCTGGGCTAATGCTAGCAGTCCCCTCAATTGGGCTAATAGTTGCCCCAGTAAGGCTCATAGTCACCTGGGTTGGAGCTAGTAATTGCCCTTGGTTGGGACTAGTGGTCCCCTCAGTTGGGCTAGTGGTTGCCCCCCCCCCCCGGGTTGGGGCTAGAAATCACCTGGGTTTAGGGTAATAATCACCTGGGTTGAAGCTAGTGATTGCCCTGGGTGGGGGAAAGTATTTCTCTCAATTGGGTTAGTGGTAGGGCTAACCATCATCTGGGTTGGGGCTAGTGATTGCCCTGAGTTGGGCTAGTGGTCACCCTCAGTAGGGCTAATAGTCACCTGGGTTGAGGCTAGTGATTGCCCTGGGTGGGTGCTCGTAGTCCCCTGAGTGGGGCTAGTGGTTGCCCCTGGTAGGGTTAGTAGTCACCTGGGTTGGGGCTAGCAATTGCCCTTGGTTGGGGCTAGTGTTTGCCCCTGGTAGAGCTAATAGTTACATGAGTTTGGGCTAAGAGTCACCTGGGTTGGGGCTAGTGGTTGCCCTGGGCGGGGGCTAGTAGTCCCCTCAGTTGGGTTAGTAGTAGGACTAACAGTCATCTGGATTGGGGCTAGTGGTTGCCTTGAGTTGGGGCTAGTGGTCACCCTTGGTAGGGCTAATAGTTACCTGGATTGGGGCTAGTAATTGTCCTTGGCCGGGGCTAGTGGTTGCCCACAGAAAAACTAATAGTCACCTGGGTTGGGGCTAGTGGTTTCCCTGGGTGGGGGCTAGTAGTCCCCCCAGTTGGGTTAGTGGTAGGCCTAACAGTCATCTGGATAGGGGCTAGTGCTTGCCTGAGTTGGGGCTAGTGGTCACCCTTGGTAAGGCTAATAGTCACCTGGGTTGAGGCTAGTGGTTGCCCTCAGTGGGGGCTAGTAGTCCCCTCAGTTGGGTTAGTGGTAGGGATAATAGTCATCTGGGTTGGGGCTAGTGGTTGCCTTGAGTTGGGGCTAGTGGTCACCCTTGGTAGGGCTAATAGTCACCTGGGCTATGGCTAGTGATTGCCCTGGATGGGGGCTAGTAGTCCCCTCAGTTGTAGGGCTAACAGTCATCTGGATTGGGGCTAGTGGTTGCTTTGAGTTGGGGCTAGTGGTCACTCTTGGTAGGGCTAACAGTCACTTAGTAAGCTCTTCAGTTACCTTGGTAGGGGCCAGTAGTCACCTTGGTTGGGCTAGCAGTTGCCCCTAGGAAGGCTAATGGTCATCTCTGTTGGGGCTGGTGGTCACCTCATTTGGCAGTAGTGGCCACCTGAGTTTGGGCTAGTAGACATCTGGGTTAGGGCTAAGTGGTTGCTAGTGGCTAGTGATTGCCCTGGGTGGGGGCTAGAAGTCCCCTGAATGGGGCTAGTGATTGCCCCTAGTAAGGCTAATGGTCATCTCTGTTGGGGCCAGTGGTCAATTCAGTTGGCAGTAGTGGCCACCTGAGTTTGGGCTAGTAGACATCTAGGTTGGGGCTAAGTAGTTGCCCTGTGTTGGGGCTAGTAGTCACCTGGGTTGAGGCTAGTAATTGCCCTTGGCTGGGGCTTGTGGTTGCCCATGGTAGAGTTAATAGTGACCTTGGTTGGGGCTAGTGGTTGCCCTTGGTGGAGGCTAGTAGTCCCCTCAGTTGGGCTAGTGGTAGGGATAATAGTCATCTGGGTTGGGGATAGTGGTTGCCCTGAGTTGGGGCTAGTAGTTGACCTTGGTTGGGACTAATGGTTGCCCCTGGTAGGGCTAATAGTCACCTGGGTTGTGGCTAGTGATTGCCCTGGGTGGGGGCTAGTAATTCCCTAGGTTGGGCTAGTGGTTGCCCCCGGTAGGGCTAGTAGTCACCCAGATCGGGGCTAGTGGTACCCCTCAGCTGGCCTAGTGGTGGTCCCGAGAAGCCGCTGCCCACTCACCTGGGACATCTGTGGCCGGAAGTTGATGTCCTTGAGGTCGATGGATCCGGGGGCCAGGTTGTGGAGCAACTGGCAGAGCAGGACCCCGTCCCGGAGGGCCTGGGCCAGCTCGAAGACCACGGCCGAGGGCCACACCACCCGGTGGTTGGCCGGCAGCACCTTGCAGTCGATGAGCCAGCGCCCACACTGCCGCCACTCCTCCATGGTGGCCTCAGGAGAAGAACGAGATAGTGGAGACCCTTTCCCTGCGGTGGGGCTTCCCGGGGGACTCCGGAGCCGGGCTCTAGGTGGCCCTCGGATGCAGTGCCATGGTGGGTCTCAAAGCCCACCGAGACCTTGGTAAATGAGACCTGGCCCTTGGTAAGACAAGGAACCCACCCTTGAGTCGAGTAGACCAGCTCCTGGATAGATAGAGTGGGCCAGCCCTTCAGTGTGATACTCAGTAGACCGGCTGAATCCAATTCGAGTAGACCGGGAGCTCAAACAATATACTCAGTAGACCGGCTGAATCCAATTCGAGTAGACCGGGAGCTCAAACAAGCTTTGGTAGACCGGAATCTTGCTAAAGTCGTCAGTAGAGCGGCTTCTTGCCTGAGAATAAGCCGCCCCTTGGATGTCTTCCTCGGCTTGGAATGGAGTAACTAGTCCCTTAGACGCCTCGGTCCGACGCTGGGTAGACCGGCCCCTCGGCGAGGCTGGGAGTTGACCGGCGCCTCCCCTTCCTCTTCCAGCGGCTGCTGCTGTTTCGTGGCCCCAAAGAGGCGCCGCCACAGCCGGGCTTGGACTCAAGGCTTCAGCGGTCGGAGCGACGGCCTCCTCGGTTGTCCATGCCGAACCGGAGAAAAAGGACCCTCCCGACCGCCCAGGAGGCTCTCTTCTCGGCTTGGCTGGGACGGAAGGAGGCGGCCGCGGGAACAAAGCGGACCTTCCCCTTTTTGTGGGCAGGGAAAGGAGCGAGAGGCGGCTCCCTCCAGCGCCTCCCGTTCGCTCCGGCGGCCGCGGGGGGGCGCAAAAGGACAGCCGCCTCTGACTCCTCCTCGCCGGGCAGCCGGAGAGGATTTCCCCCGGTGGGTCCCCTTCCTCCGGAGGAGCCCCAGAGGGCATCCAAACCAACCCCCAGAAAAATACCCAAGATTTCACCAACTGGAAGAAATTCCCTAAAGGTCATCTAGATGGATCCCCAAAGTCTCAAGGATCTTCTGAATGGGAAAGGGACCCCAAAAGGTCATCTAGACCGACCCTCCAAAAAAGGCTCCTGAATGGGAAAAGGACCCTCAAAGGTCATCTTGACCGACCCCCCCCAAAAAAAGTCTCCTGAATGGGAAAGGGACCCTCAAAGGTCATTTAGACCGACCCCCCCCCAAAAAAGTCTCCTGAATGGGAAAGGGACCCCAAAGGTCATCTAGTCTGACTCCAAAAGTTTCAGAGATCCTGTGAATTCATGAGACCCCCCCCCAAGGTCTCATGAATGGGAAAGAACCTCCAAAGGTCATCTAGACTGACCCCCCCAAAAGTCTCCTGAATGGGAAAGGGGTCCCCAAACGTCATCTAGACCAACTCCAAAAGTCTCCTGAATGGGAAAGGGACCCTCAAAGGTCATCTAGATTGACCCCCCCCCCCAAAATCTCCTGAATGGGAAAGGGACCCTCAAACGTCATCTAGACCGACCCCCCAAAAGTCTCATGAATGGGAAAGGGGACCCCCAAAGGTCATCTAGACAGACCCCCCTCAAAAGTCTCCTGAATGGGAAAGGGACCCCCAAAGGTCATCTAGACTGACCTCCCCAAAGTCTCCTGAATGGGAACGGGACCCCAAAGGTCATCCAAGTGTTAAGGAGCCTGTGAATGGTGAAGTACCCTTAAAGGTCATCTAAACTGACCCTCAAAAGTCTCATGAATGGGAAGGGGGACCCCCAAATGTAATCTAGACCTACCTCCAAAGCTGCAAGGATCCTATGATTAGGGACCCCCCAACGGTCATCTAAACTGACCCCAAAAGTCTCAATGTTTCTATGAATGGGAAAGGGGTTCCCATGGTCATCTAGGCTAACCTGCAAATGTCTTAAGGATTCTGTGCATGGAAAGAGGACCCCAAAGGTCATCTAGACCAACCCTCAAAGTTTCAAGAATGCTGTGAATTGGAAGGGACCCTAAAGGTCATCTAGACCGATCCCCAAAGCCCTTAAGCATTATAGACTCTTATATATGGTAAGTGATCCCCAAAGGACATCAAGTCTGACCCAAAGATCCTGAAATAATACTTCGGCCAGTTCTTTTAATACCCTTGGCTACACTTTATCCAGCCCTGGAGACTTGCCGCCTCTTCTTTGAATCCTTCATTTCGGAGGATTTCAGAGTCCCATGGAAAGGATGTGGGCGGGGCCAGAACCCGACAGGTAGGCCTGTTGCTAGGCAGATCAGAGAGAATCCCCAGGAAGTAAACAGAGAAGGTGAGCAGTTGGAAAGAAAGGTGGAACAGATACAGGACTGGAGGTGAGAGAGCATGGCCAGGTATATCCATCCCTTCATGGCAAGAGATGGCTCTCAAGTCACAGAACTGGAAGGGAAGCCCACAAAGGAGACCCTGTTCCATGCTGGGAGATCCCCTTTCCATGTTGGGAGTCCCTTTTCCATTTGGGGTCCCTTCCCATTCATGGGATCCTTGACACTTTGAGGGTTGGACTCTAGAAGACATTGGGGGTCCCCATTCTTAGGACCTTGAGACTGGGGGTCAATCTAGATTACCTTAGGCCAGGGTCCCCTTCCCATTCGTAGAATCCTTGAGACCTTTGGGGTCAGTTTAGATTATCTTTGGAGGTCCCCTTCCCATTCGTAGAATCCTTGAGACCTTTGGGGTCAGTTTAGATTATCTTTGGAGGTCCCCTTCCCATTCGTAGAATCCTTGAGATTTTTGAGGTCGGTCTAGATGATCTTTGGAGGTCCCCTTCCCATTCATAGAATCATTGAGACTTTTAGGGGTCAGTCTAGATGACCTTCAGAGGTCCCCTTCCCATTCAGAGAATCCTTGAGACTTTGAGGGTCAGTCTGGATTACCTTTGCAGGTCCTCATTTGTAGAATCCTTGAGACTTTTAGGGTCTGTTTAGATTACCTTTGGAGGCTCCCTTCCCATTCGTAGAATCCTTGAGAATTTTGGGGGTCAGTCTAGATTACCTTCGGAGGTCCCCTTCCCATTCAGATAAGCCTTGAGACTTTTGAGGTCAGTTTAGATGAACTTTGGCAGTCCCTTTCCCATTTGTAGAATCCTTGAGACTTTTGGGGGTCAGCCTAGATGAACTTCAGTGGTAACCCTTCCCATTCATAGAATCCTTGAGACTTTTGGGTTCGGTTTAGATGCCCTTCGGAGGTCCCCTTCCCATTCGTAGAATCCTTGAGACTTTTGGGGTTGGTTTAGATGACCTTTGGAGGTCCCCTTCCCGTTCGTAGAATCCTTGAGACTTTTGGGGTTGGTTTAGATGCCCTTCGGAGGTCCCCTTCCCATTCGTAGAATCCTTGAGACTTTTGGGGTTGGTTTAGATGACCTTTTGAGATCTTAGATGACTTTCGGAAGTCCCCTTCCTGTTCGTAGAATCCTTGAGACTTTTGGGGGTGGTCTAGATGACTTCAGAGGTCCCCTTCACATTTATAGAATCCTTCTTTGAGGGTAAGTCTAGATGACTTTTAGAAGTCCCCTTCCCATTCATAGGATCCTTGAGACTTTGAGGGTCAGCCTAGCTGATCCATGGGGTCTCCTTCGCATTCATGAGATTTTGGGGATTGGTCTAGATGACCTTTGAGGGTCCCCTTCTCATTAGTAGAATCCTTGAGACTTTTGGGGGTCAGTCTAGATGACCTTTGGAGGTACCCTTCCCATTCATAGGATCCTTCCCTTTGAGGGTCAGCCTAGATGATCTACGGGGTCTCCTTCCCATTCATGAGATTCTTGGGGATTGGTCTAGATGACCTTTGAGGGTCCCTTTCTCATTAGTAGAATCCTTGAGACTTTTGGGGGTCAGTCTAGATGACCTTTGGAAGTCCCCTTCCCATTGGTAGAATCTTTGAGACTTTTGGGGTTGGTTTAGATGACCTTCAGAGGTCCCCTTCCCATTCATAGAATCCACTTTGGGGTCAGTCTAGATGACCTTCGGTAGTCCCTTTCCCATTCATCGAAGCCTTGAGACTTTTGTGGTTTGTGTGTAGATGGTCTATGGGGTCTCCTTCCCATTCATGAGCTTTTTGGGGATTGGTCTAGATGACCTTTGGGGTCCCCTTCCCATTTATAGAATCCTTGAGACTTTGAGGGTCTTTTTTTTTCTATTTTGGGAGAATTTTCTATTTTGGGAGACCCCTTTCCACATTGGAGATCCCTTTTAAAGGTGGGGACCCCCTTCCTTCCATGGGTGGAGACCCCCTTTCCATGTTGGAGGGTACCCTTTGCATATCCAAAGACTCTTTTGCATATTAAAAAGGACCCTTTTTGCATATTGGGAGTCCCTTTTCCATGTTGGGAGGCCCCTTCCCACATTGGAGATCCTTTTAGTGGAGCCCCCTTTCCTACAACCCCTTTTCGCATGGCATAGACCCCTTCCGTGACCCCTTTTCGTGGCCTCTTCCAGGCAGGCCTTTGGAGGGAGGTAGGCCATGGGAGCTGGACAGCTCCGCCTGCCAATGACGCAACCAACTCTCCTCCTCTTTCTCCTCCTTCTTCTCTTCTTCGTTGGGATCTGCAGTGTGGAAACAGGCCGGGACCGACTCCACGAGACCCCCCAACCACAGGATGTCCTGTCCCAGTAAGTAAATGGGGGATAATGGAGGAGGAAGAGGAGGAGGAGAGGGATCTCGGGGTGCAATTACTGGAGAACGAAAACAATGAGGTCACTGCATTCCCACCATCTTCTAGCCTCATTCGCCATCCTCTCGAGGGCCTCTGTGCATGTGCAGAGCATCCCTTGCCCATCAAGGGGAGAGCCTGGACCTCACTAGAGAGATGGGGAGGAGTGCCAAAGGGCTAGCTTAGGAAAGAATGGCCTTTTTCAAAGGCAGAATTCGAAAACATCCCCAAAGAGGTCCATCCCGAGCACATGCAAGCCTATGATCAAGAATGGCTCGCTTTCCAGGTCAGGAAAAGCCATTGAAAAAAACAACAATATTATAAACAACACAGTAAATAAACAATGAAGTATTTCTTGCCATGGATAGCATGACTCGTGCTAAGGAAGGTTTGGGAGTTGTAGTCTAGCAAGGTCCAAAGCAATGCACGATTCTCACTTCTGATCCAGGCTATTTCCAATTCTTTTTGCAGCTTCTTCCTCTTCTGCCAATGGCATGACTCATGCTAAGGAAGGTTTGGGAGTTGTAGTTTAGCAAGGTCCAAAGCAACAGTTCTCAGTTCTGATCCAGACTATTTCCAATTCTTTTCGCAGCCTCTTCCTCTTCTGCCAATGACTCCTGCTAAGGAAGGTTTGGGAGTTGTAGTCTAGCAAGGTCCAAAGCAATGGGACTTGTAGTTTAGCAAGGTCCAAAGGTTCTCACTTCTGATCTGGGTTACTTCCAATTCTTTTCGCAGCTTCTTCCTCTTCTGCCAATGGATAGCGTGACTCGTGCTAAGGAAGGTTTGGGAGTTGTAGTTTTAGCAAGGTCTAAAGCAATGATTCTCAGTTCTGATCCAGGCTATTTCCAATTCTTTTTGCAGCCTCTTCCTCTTCTGCCAATGACTCTTGCTAAGGAAGGTTTGGGAGTTGTAGTTTAGCAAGGTCCAAAGGTTCTCACTTCTGATCTGCATTAGTTCCAACTCTTTTTGCAGCTTCTTCCTCTTCTGCCAATGGATAGCGTGAGTCATGCTAAGGAAGGTTTGGAAGTTGTAGTCTAGCAAGGTCCAAAGCAATGCATGGTTCTCACTTCTGATCCAGGCTATTTCCAATTCTTCCTCTTCTGCCAATAGATAACATGACTCATGCTAAGGAAGGTTTGGGAGTTGTAGTCAAGCAAGGTCCGAAGGAATGCATGGTTCTCACTTCTAATTCCGGTTATTTCCAATTATTTTTGCAGCTTCTTCCTCTTCTGCCAATGGATAGCATGACTCCTGCTAAGAAAGGTATGGGAGTTGTAGTTTAGCAAGATCCAAAGGTTCTCACTTCTGATCTGGGTTACTTCCAACTCTTTTCGCAGCTTCTTCCTCTTCTGCCAATGGATAGCGTGAGTCATGCTAAGGAAGGTTTGGGAGTTGTAGTCTAGCAAGGTCCAAAGCAATGCACGGTTCTCACTCCTGATCCCAGTTATTTCCAATTCTTTTCGCAGCTTCTCCCTCAAAGCCAATGATGACCTCAATTCTCCTACCAAGATTCACACTAGATCCTGGACGAAGCAACAGCATCACCTTGGGATGGGCTTTGTAGTCATAAGAGGCCTCTTTCGCCCAACCTTCAAGTATTTGGATCCAGAATTCCATTTTAGATGAGCTTGCAGGAAAGACAGATCAAAGCAGACACCAAAAGGCAGTATGTACTTAGAAAACCGGATACTAGAAGGCACCTCCATGCTGATATCTTCTTGGAGAAGATGTCTCAAGTCCTCAAACCTTCTGCAACCCTGACTGCGTTGCATCGTGACACCATGAATGAGGTTCTTCGCTTTCCGAAGCACTAGAAGGCACCGTTTGGTCATCTCCTGCGCTTTGGTGCGGCACAACGGGACGGCGCAACAACATCCTCCCAACTTCAGAATAGCGGAGTTGAGAAAAATGAGCGGCCGGCCGCCTCTAGCCGAAAAGGCGCTTTCGGAGAGTTACGCCCGCCTCCGGTACCGGGACACTTCCCTCCTCATTTGGCAGCAACAGCAGCAGAAACTGGAGAGCCTCCCGCCGGGGACGTACTTGAACCGGAGCCAAAGCATGTGGTACTCGCAATACGGCAACCAAGCTATCTTGGTGCGGGATCGGAACAAGGCAGATGTCACCCGGGACACGGGGCAGTCCAAGTTTTGCACTGTGATGTGACTTTCTTTTCTTTCGACGATGTAGATGGAATGCGGCTTTAGATATTACTTGAACTGCCATGGCTCAGTGCAGTAACATCCTGGGAGTTGTAGTTTGGGGAGGCACCAGTACTCTCAGGATAAAGATTGTATCAAACTACAACTCTCGGGATCCCATCGCAATGAGCCATGGTGTCTAGATGTATTCATTCGACAACAACACCCCCCTCGGAAGTAGGTGAGATATGGAGTCGATAATAAAACAAATACATCTGGTGTAGCTGCCTCTTGCTTTGAGCTTCAGGGGGAGTTGGGTACGAAATAGAGTGAAATATAAATATTTGTAGTTACAAATTTTTTGGTTCTCCGATTTATTTATTTATCGAGTCATCAGCAACCAGTCATTTATATTACATTTCTAACAGAACAAAGCAAACAAACAGACAAGATAAAAAAAATACAAAATACAGAATACAAAATTTATGAGTTTGGTAGTTGATTAAATGTCCTTTGACCAGTATCTGGCCACTTGGAGTGCTTCTGGTGTTGCTGCAAGAAGGTTCTCCATTGCTCATGAGGTTACATTGCAGCAGGTGGTCAGTGGTTTGCTCCTCTCCAACTCGCATGTCGTGGACTCCACTTTGTGGCCCCATTTCTTGAGGTTGGCTCTGCATCTCGTGGTGCCAGAGCGCAGTCTGTTCAGCGCCTTCCAAGTCGCCCAGTCTTCTGTGTGCCCAGGGGGGAGTCTCTCATTTGGTATCAGCCATTGTTTGAGGTTTTGGGTTTGAGCCTGCCACTTTTGGACTCTCGCTTGCTGAGGTGTTCCAGCGAGTGTCTCTGTAGATCTTAGAAAACTATTTCTAGATTTAAGTCGTTGACGTGCTGGCTGATACCCAAACAGGGGATGAGCTGGAGATGTCTCTGCCTTGGTCCTTCCACTATTGGCTGCTACTTCCTGGCGGATGTCAGGTGGTGCAATACCGGCTAGACAGTGTAATTTCTCCAGTGGTGTAGGGCACAGACACCCCGTGATAATGCGGCATGTCTCATTAAGAGCCACATCCACTGTTATTTCACATTATTTCTATCCCGCCCATTTTAGCCCAAAGGCGACAGTCGGCACAATTCGATGCTGAAACAAAATGCATACATTGATAAAGCAAAAATATCAAGTGCAATTAAACATAAACGACAGTGCATAATAAACAATATAAAAAGAAACGATGTCCTCTCGTTCAAATCTTCATCCATTACATTGTCTTGGCCGTTCCTGGGTCAATCTCCAACTCTAGTTTGTCTGTTTACTCCGGGGTTCCGAATGCTTGCTCAAAGAGCCAAGTTTTTACTCTTTTTCGGAAAGTCAGGAGGGAGGGGGCTGATCTAATATCCCTAGGGAGGGAGTTCCACAGCCGGGGGGCCACCACAGAGAAGGCCCTGTCTCTCGTCCCCACCAGACGTGCCAGCGAAGCAGGCATGATCGAGAGCAGGGCCTCCCCAGATGATCTTAACTTCCTGGTGGGTTCGTAGGAAGAGATGCGTTCAGATAGATAGAGTGGGCCAGAACCTTTTAGGGCTTTATAGGCTAAACGCAGCACTTTGAATTGAGCCCGGTAGCAGACTGGAAGCCAGTGGAGCTAGCACAACAGAGGAGTTGTATGCTCCCCGAGTGCCGCTCCTGTTAGCAACCTGGCTGCCGCACGCTGGACCATTTGAAGCTTCCGGGCCATCTTCAAAGGCAACCCCACATAGAGCGCGTTGCAGTAATCTGTACTGGATGTAACCAGAGCGTGGACCACCGTGGCCAAGTCAGACTTCCCAAGGTACGGGCGCAGTTGGCGCACAAGTTTTAATTGTGCAAATGTTCTCCTGGTCACGCTGAAAATTGGAGATTCAGGCTCAGCGATGAATCCAGGATCACACCCAAGCTGCAAACCTGCATCTTCAGGGGGAGCGTAACCTCGTCTAACACAGGCTGTAACCCTATTCTCTGTTCGGCCTTTCGACTGACCAGTAGGACCTCTGTCTTGTCTGGATTCAATCTCAATTTGTTAACTCTCATCCAGTCCGACACAGCGGCCAAGCACCGGTTTATCTCTTATTTCCTTTTCTCCTTCCTCCTTTACTTCTTTCCTGCATTTCCCTCCCTTTTTACTTTTCTTCTTCCTTCCTTTGGTATTTCTTTCTTCCCTTCTCTCCTTCCCCCTTTCCCTCCTTCATTCCTTCCCTTTTCCCTCCCTCCTTTCTTCTCTCCTTCCTTCCTGTCTGTTCTCCCCCAATACCATGGTAGAGTCCCTTCTAAGTCTATTCTGAGTCTATTTAATATAGTAATATATAGTAGTAACATTATATTGTTGTTGTTGTTCATTCGTTCAGTCATCTCCGACTCTTCGTGACCTCATGGACCAACCCACGCCAGAGCTCCCTGTCGGCCGTCACCACCCCCAGCTCCTTCAAGGTCAGTCCAGTCACTTCAAGGATGCCATCCATCCATCTTGCCCTTGGTCGGCCCCTCTTCCTTTTGCCTTCCACTTTCCCCAGCATAATTGTCTTCTCTAGGCTTTGCTGTCTCCTCATGATGTGGCCAAAGTATATATTATAAATATTATATGTATATACAATATATTATTATTATTAATAACAAATATATAATAGTAATATATAAGTATTATATAAAGATATTAGAGGCATCCAACGAGGAAACAAAACTCAAAAAACCCCAACGAAACTTAACCAAAATTCCCATGCCCATAACACAACCCACAAGGTACAAACATATCTACTCAAAATGAAAAACAACACAACACACTCACAAAACGGCAAAACAACAAAACTCAAAAACCCCCAACGAAACTTAACCAAAATTCCCATGCCCATAACACAACCCACAAGGTACAAACATATCTACTCAAAATGAAAAACAACACAACAACACACTCACAAAATGTCAAAACAACAAAACTCAAAAATCCCCCAACGAAACTTAACCAAAATTCCCATGCCCATAACACAACCCACAAGGTACAAACATATCTACTCAAAATGAAAAACAACACAACACACTCACAAAACGGCAAAACAACAAAACTCAAAAATCCCCCAACGAAACTTAACCAAAATCCCCGTGCCCATAACACAACCCACAAGGTACAAACATATCTACTCAAAATGAAAAACAACACAACAACACACTCACAAAACGGCAAAAGGATAAAACTCTAAAAAAACCAACGAAACTTAACCAAAATTCCCATGGTCATAACACAACCCACAAGGTACAAACATATTACTCAAAATGAAAAACAACACAACAACACACTCAAAACGGCAAAAAAACAAAACTCAAAAAAACCCCAACGAAACTTAACCAAAATTCCCATGCCCATAACACAACCCACAAGGTACAAACGTATCTACTCAAAATGAAAAACAACACAACAACACACTCACAAAACGGCAAAACAACTGAGCATGCGCATTGGCGCCCAGCCGCAAGTTCCCTGGCGCACGCACATGCCCTTCCGGCCAACGTTCCCTCTGCGGAAACCATGCCCACTCCAAGCCCCGCCGCGCCGCTTCCCGCACACACACACACCCCTGCCGCACATACACACAACCCCACACTCCATCACTCCCCCCGCCGCCGCACACACACACGCAACCCCACACTCCATCACTTCCCCCGCTGCCGCACGCACACACGCAACCCCACTCCCCCCGCCGCCGCACACACACACGCAACCCCACGCTCCATCACTCCCCCCGCCGCCGCACGCACACACGCAACCCCACTCCCCCCGCCGCCGCACACACACACGCAACCCCACGCCCTCCCTCCCTCCCCCCCGCCGCCGCACACACACACGCAACCCCACGCTCCATCACTCCCCCGCCGCGCACACACACACACAACCCCACGCTCCATCACTCCCCCACCCCAATCTTACCTCCTTTTACTTCACGCCACTCCAAACCCCACCCCCCCCCCTCCCCCCCCTGTCAAAATCTAGGAAAGACAGGAAGGAAGGAAAGAAGGAAGAAAAGAGAAAGGGAGGTAAAGAAAAGGGGGAAGGAAGGAAAGTTAGAGAAAGAAGGAAGAAGAAAAGGAAAGAAAAGGAAAGAGAGACAGCAGAAGAGAAAGAAAAAGGGGGAAGGAAGGAAAGAGAAGGAAAGATGGGAAGGAAGGAAAGAGGGAGTGAAGGAAGGAGGGAAAGAAAGAGAGAAAGAGGGAAGGTTGGCCACAGCAACACGTGGCGGGTAAAGGTTGTTATTTCTATTATTATTATGCTATTATTCCTGTTAGACCCTGGGGGAATGGGAGAGGTGTCAGGTCCCAGAGGCAATGCATTGCATTATTGTTATTGTTATGATGGTGGTGAAATAAAAGGAAATAAAAAGTGGAGGGAAGAAAGGCAAAGGAAGAAAGGGAGGGAAAAGAAAGAAAGAAAGAAAGAAAGAAAGAGGAAGAGAAGGAAGAAAGGAGAGAAAGGGGGAGGAAAAGGGGGAAGGAATAGGTAGGTACCTCTCTTTCATAATAGTCCAGATATCTACCTCAACTTTGATAAGTTTTACTATAGGCCACAGCAACGCGTGGCAGGGCACAGCTAATAATAATAATAATAATAATAATAATAATAATAATAATAATAATAATATATATATATATATAGAAAGGAGTTGCAATCCATCACCTTTGGAAAGCTCAAGGAATCACTCTGCACATGCTCAGAGGCACCCAGCAATTCCAAGAATCTTTGCCCACAAAACTTCTCCTCTTGCAGGCCTCAGCCCCCAATCTCAGGCTCCTGCCTCTCACCTTTTCTCCTCCAAACAGGAGCCTCCTCTGCAGTAAATAAAGCTTTTGGTCACTCTTGCTGGCCCTGGAGAGTGGTGGGCGGGGTAATCCTTAGCCCCCCCCCCCCCAGGAGCCATGTGACACAAACTTAAAAGTTAGCATGGGGCTGGAAGCCTGCAGAGCCATAGCCAGGAATCCGGTGGATGCTGCAGGGAGAGAGACAGAGGGGAGAGTCCGTCTCCCTTCCTGCTGCTCCTCCCCCCGCCTCTCTCTCTGCCTCTTTTGCTGCTGCTGCTTCCTCCGATATGTTGGAGCATGGAGAATCCAAAAAAGGGCACTGCTGCAGAGTGAAGGCACAAAGTAAATCTAAAGTGTTGTTTACCTCTTTTTGTTTGTTCTTTTCCCTCAGCTCCTAATGTGCCCTCCATCCCTCCTTTCCTTCAGTTGCAAGGTTACTCCTTGGAAGAGGAGGAGGGAGCCCGGCCTCCTCTGCACCTGCCAGAGTGCTGCTGCCTGGGGAAGCACTTCTTGGGGGGGGGGACTCACCCTTCTCCACACCCCATAGTTTGAGGACCCCTGATGTAAAGGATAGTGACAGGGTAGCAGGCCTGCGGGGATGAGGGCTTTTCCTCCAGCTCCTGAAGGGAGGGCCTCCATGGGAGCCTGCTGGGCATGCACACTCGCCGCTGGCCATGCACGTGCAACTGAGGCTTAAGTTGAATGTCTTTGGAAAGAGGGGGGGGGGAGGGGAAGTGTTTTTTTTTTGGGGGGGGAGTGGAGAACATACATTGGGTTGTTAAGTGTATTGTGTCCAAATTTGGTGCAAATTTGGGTTCTGTTAATCCCACAAACGAACATTACATTTTTATTTATATAGATTATTATTATAAAGCCTCCCACAGGACAGTAAAACATCTGGGTTCCCCCTGGGCAACATCTGTACTGCTGAAATCTGTACCGGCTAAGGCTTCGACTGCCCCGTACAAAGCTCATTTTCATGGATTTGGCAACCGAATCCGACAAACCATTCGAATCTGCTATTCAAAAACGAAATCATGCACACCCCCATTCTCCATCCACTTCTGCCTGCAATATGTTCATTAGAGAAGCAGCATTTCCTCTCGGAAAATTAAAAAAAAAAATGAAAACAACCAGGTCTTTGTTCCTTTATTTTTTTTCCAAACTGTTCTACTTTTTTTTAAAACAAGATACAGAGAAAAAGACCAACGTGGAAGGAGACTAGGAATATACAAATAAAACATGCTTTATCTGGAAGTTACCAATACCTGTAAAGTCCAAAATCTGTACAAAAAGGAAAGCAAACAAAACCACAACCCCCTTCCCCGGAAAAAAAACATCCCTCCCGTCCCGAAAAAAAAGAAACAAAACAAAGAAACTGAATACACATACAAGGAGTAAGCACCGGCACAGGAAACTAGCAAATATCGGTAGCACCTGTTGGTTAAAAAGTCAAAGACATTTAAATAATAATAAAAAAGGACTCCCGATTCGTTTTCAGAGCTCGGTTCTAAAACCAGCAAGAAACCTGCATTCCTTTCTTTCTTTCCTCTCTCTCGCTCTGCCGTCGCTCTTTGAACCAACACAAAATGCAGGATACGATTTTTAAGTGACCAATGATGTTAATAAATAAAGTTATTTCTATATACATGGGGAAAAAACGAGGGATCGTCGAATTCCGGCGTGTGTCATTTTGCCAAAGCGCAGGTCTCCAGGCGAGGAACGCAAAAAAAGAGCTTCTAAAAAAACACCCCAATGAACCTTACCCAAAAAAATGTATTTCCTCTATTTCCCTTCCCGCCGTGTTTTTTTGAAAATATTTTTTTTTCATATGAGGTAAAAGGTTTTGATTCTTTTGGAAACCTGCACTCGAAAGACACACCATTTCGCCTTCTGTCCTAAGAGCTTCCGCACTGTTACAAAGGAGATAAAAGAAGAGAACAAAAAAATATAGATATATATATAGAGAAAGATAGATAGATCAGTGGCTCGGCTCGTATTTGGCCTCCAGGATTACTCTTCGTTTTTTGGAACCTTGCTGGTGGTCTTGAAACACAAGTCCGGAATGCAATGCTAAAAAAGACTACAAATCTAGAGATTGATATAAAATCGCAGGCCTGAATCCAATGACAGAAGAAGCCACAGTTGGATGGTTGCATTAATATTCAAAAGTGGGTCTGCTCCTCCATAATTCGGTAGAAAACCTTGGGCCTAAATCCAACGAAGAATCGATGCTTGCAAATCAACATTTACCCAAAGTTGAACAGGTTTGCTCTTCCATGAGACTGTCATTCGGTACAAAATCTGGGTCTTAAATCTAACGACTGCTCTCTTGAAGAACCATCAAGGTTGATCGAATGCAGATCTTATCTGCTATGGATATATAATCCTGAGCCTAAATCTAGTGTCTGTCCTGTAGAAATCTTGGATCGATGGTTAGATGCTTGAATCAACATCTATCAACAGCCTCAAAGTTCTGCTTTTCTCTGGGTTTAAGCCCTGATGACATTTTCGAGAATGGATGTTATGGTGGCCATAAGTGAAACTATCATGGTCCATCAAACCATCCACTACTCTAGACATAAACCCTATTTATTTCAGTGTAGCTTCCTTTCCATGTTTCAACTGGAGAAACGTCGAAAATGCATATGTTCTTCTGTTTTTCTAAAGAGTCGATGCCGTGGAGATAAGAAAACCAGCAATGCCGATGGTCCAAAAATTTGCTAACCTTCGCTGGAAGAGGAAGAAGAAATCCTGACCCAAGTAAGGCCCATCATTCCCTTTTTTAGGTGACTTAGAGGGCAAAACATCCCACCGGGAATGAGGATCATTCCTAGACTTGAAGGATGCATAGTTTCATCTTCTAATTGCTCATCCAAGTCTATATACCATCCATCCAAGTTTCCGTCTTTAGGGGACTTTGAGGTCAAAACATCCCACTGAGAATGAGGATCATTCCTAGATTTGAAGGGCGCATACTTCCAGCTTCTGGTTGCTCATCCAAGTCTATATACCACCCATCCAAGTTTCCATCTTTAGGGGACTTTGAGGGCAAAACATCCCAAGAATGAGGATCATTCCTAGACTTGAAGGACACATACTTCCAGCTTCTGATTGCTCATCCAAGTCTATATACCACCCATCCAAGTTTTTTTAGGGGACTTTGTGGGCAAAACATCCCACCAAGAATGAGTATCATTCCTAGATTTGAAGGACGCTTACTTCCAGCTTTTGATTGCTCATCCAAGTCTATAAACCATCCATCCAAGTTCATGTTGACGCTTTTGCCAGCTGTTTGAGAATTCTGTCAGAAGATCTCCAGATCGATTTTTTGTTTTGTTTTAAAAGATAGAAGGGGTCTCTAAAAAGTACGTTAAAATTAAAAATCCACACTACACGAGCTTTCCTTTTCTGCCATCATATATATATATATAGATAGCTAGATATATATATTGTTGATGATCTTCGTCACAATGTTGACACAGCGCCCGATCCCCTCTAAGTCCACTGTTTGTTTAAAATGTCCTTTTCCGTGGCTCCTTTTTTGGGTAAGGAGCAGATCAGGGAGGTTCGGCCGGCTAGCGCTAAGAACAAATACATCCAACTACTTCAAAAGCTAACAAATCGTTCAGGTACAGTACCATTTTACAAAGAGTCTTTGATCTCTTTTCAGTTTGTTTAAAAAATCTCCCCATCCTCTGCTTTGTGTCTAGAGACGAGACAGTTTGGGGGCGGCATTAAAAAGAGTATTTTCCTGGAAAAGAATGACCTCGAAACCCCCCAAACAAACAAACAACCCTCTGCCCCAATATTACACCTCGCTAATGTTGTGTCTCCAGTTCTCTCACATTCAGTATCTCCTCCTTCTGCGAGTGAAAACGTCCTGCTTTCTCATTTTAAAAAATTTAAGAGACTTTGAAGTGAAGTGAAGAATGTGTCGAGTCGAACACATGGACACAAACCTAATAAAATTGTGGAGGAAATTAATTTAGGAAAGCATCTTTTATGTATATGTATATATATAACATTGGGGCTTTTAAAAAAGAGGGTTTTGAAAGAGTGGAAAAAATCATGTGGAAACCAGCTGAGATGGAACGAGTGCAGACTGTCGTCTTCGTTTTCTTTTCAAAAGGAAAATAAAAAGAGACGGGAGGAACGCTGCAAAGTTTCAGGGGCGAGTTGTCAGCGGGAGGTTTGTTTGCTGCTCTGGGTGCGTTGTCCAAAGAGTCCATAGGGGTTGTGTGTGTGTGTTTACTCCGAATCACTACTATCAGAACTGGATTCACTGGAACTGCTGCTCCCCGATTCGGAGGAGCTGCTGCTGCTGAGGCGGGAGGGTCCTCCGGAGGGCGCAGATCCGGATTTTTCTAGAAAAGACACAAAACGACATGCCGTTTTCTATTTATTATAATGTCCCAGGCTTGGTAACTCCCAATGGCCCAGATTTAAAATGGTACAAAGAATCGAACTTGGAAGAGATCTCATGGGCCAGCCACTGCCAGAAGGGACAGACAGCCTATGGCTCCGCCACAGACTTCCCTCTGTTTCTTACTCTCTCCATTGGGGTGCAATTTGCATGATCCCACCCACTGCCTCCCCCCTGTCCAGATACAATACACTGCCTTCTCATCCAGGGTTTTTAAACTTTTAACCCTTTTTGTCCTTGTTGTGGCCCAATTTTATCATTGGTGGGGTTCAGAATGCTCTGTGATTGTAGGTGAACTATAAATCCCAGCAACTACAACTCCCAAATGTCAAGATTCTATTTTCCCCAAACTCCACCAGTGTTCACATTTGGGCATATTGAGTATTCGTGTAGAGTTTGGTCCAGATCCATCATTGTTTGAGTCCACAGTGATCTCTGGATGTAGGTGAACTACAACTCCAAAACCAAAGGACACTGCCCACCAAACCCTTCCAGTATTTTCTGTTGGTCATGGGAGAACTATGTGCCAAGTTTGGTTCAATTCCATCGTTGGTGGGTTCAGAATGCTCTTTGATTGTAGGTGAACTATAAATCCCAGCAACTACAACTCCCAAATGACAAAATCTTTTTTTTTTTGAGTGAAGGACATACATTGGGTTGTTAGGTGTCTTGTGTCCAAATTTGGTGTCAATTCGTCCAGTGGTTTTTGAGTTCTGTTAATCCCACAAACGAACATTACATTTTTATTTATATAGATGTAATGTAATGTTTTTAACTATATTTTATGTTGTTTGGGGGGCATTAACTTCCGACTGCAAACCGCCTCGAATCGGGCTGAGAGGGGCGGTATATAAACATGGCAAATAAATAAATAAATATTGATGGAATTTCAGGGGGTTAACCTGGCATGATGGGAGTTGTCGTTCACCCACAACCTTATGCATTTTGGACAATTGAAAAAATTGCCGGGCAACGCTGGGTAGATCAACAAAAGTCTTTGTTTACAGATAAAAAGGTAAAAAAGATAAAGGTTGTCCCCTGGCATGAAGTCCAGTCGTGTCCGACTCGGGTGTGGTGCTCATCTCCATTTCTAAGCCGAAGAGCCGGCGTTGTCCGTAGACACCTCCAAGGTCATGTGGCCAGCATGACTGCATGGAGCGCCGTTACCTTCCCGCCGGAGCGGTACCTATTGATCTACTCACATAATAATAGTAATAATAATAATAATAATAACAACATCCCCCCAAAAAAGGAAAAGAGCTCTCCGTGGTGCCAAATCAAGCCTCACCAAAAACATTCAACACCGCGGCCTTGTCTGGTCCATGTTTGGGTAGAAGGGGAAGAAGCGTGCCCGGACTCACCCTTTTTCGCAGGCTTCTTGTTGTTGTTTAGCTGCCCGCTGACGTCCTGCAACCGCTTCTCCAGTTCTTTCTTTTTTTCCTGAGCCATCTCCTCCTTGGACTTTGCCGCCTGCTTCTTCCCGCTTGCCGCTACAGAAGAGAAAGGCACTGCTTTAGAGACTTCCTTTTAGGGTCTCCTCCTTTCCAAGGGGAAAGTTAAGAACAGCAATGGCCAACCTCAATGTTGTGAAATCGAGGCACTCTCAATGTGAAGGAACATGAATATTGCTCTCTATTTAATATTCTGGAGTAATGGGAGTTGAAGTTTGTCAAGGTCTTTAGACTGGTGGTGCTTCGCCACACTCAGGATTCCTTAGCATGGAGCCAGGGCAGTTCAGGTGGTGTCAAACTGCATTATTACAATAGAGATGAAGCTGGTCTTCTAGGACTACAGTTCCCAGAAGCCCTGATCATTGGCCAAGGCTGCTGGGAATTGAAGTACAAACAGGAGGACTAGAGTTTGGGAATCACTGGTGTAGGTGCTGTCAGAAATATTAAAACTTAACTAGGTATTTTTAATTACAAAAATGTGAGTCAAGCACTGAAAGGATTAAACGGATGCAATGACTCAGTAAAAGCAGGTGTACCTGTAGCTTAGTAGACATCAGTCTGAGGGAGCCCTCAGTGTTAGCAGACCTGTCTGTGAGAGACCTCTGTGGGAGAAGGGCCTCAGTGTGTTTGTAGGCCTCAGTATAAAAGAGCCTCAGTAGGATACTCAGTCTGAGGGAGTCCTCAGTGTTAGCAGACCTGTCTGTGAGAGGCCTCTGTGGGAGAAGGGCCTCAGTATGAAAGGGCCTCAGTGGGATAAAGGCCTCAGTCTGAGGGAGCTCTCGGTGTTAGTAAACCTGTCTGTGAGAGGCATCTGTGGGAGAAGGGCCTCAGTATGAAAGGGCCTCAGTGGGATAAAGGCCTCAGTCTGAGGGCACCCTCAGTGTTAGTAGACCTGTCTGTGAGGGACCTCTGTGGGAGAAGGGCCTCGGTATGAAAGGGCCTCAGTGGGGTAAAGCCCTCAGTCTGAGGGAGCCCTCAGTGTTAGCAGACCTGTCTGTGAGAGGCATCTGTGGGAGAAGGGCCTCAGTGGGATAAAGGCCTCAGTCTGAGGGCACCCTCAGTGTTAGTAGACCTGTCTGTGAGGGACCTCTGTGGGAGAAGGGCCTCGGTATGAACGGGCCTCAGTGGGGTAAAGCCCTCAGTCTGAGAGAGCCCTCAGTGTTAGTAGATCTGTCTGTGAGAGGCCTCTGTGGGAGAAGGGCCTCAGTGGGATAAAGGCCTCAGTCTGAGGGCACCCTCAGTGTTAGTAGACCTGTCTGTGAGAGGCCTCTGTGGGAGAAGGACCTCAGTATGAAAGGGCCTCAGTGGGATAAAGCCCTCAGTCTGAGGGAGCCCTCAGTGTTAGCAGACCTGTCTGTGAGAGACCTCTGTGGGAGAAGGGCCTCAGTGTGTTGTAGGCCTCAGTTTGAAAGGGCCTCAGTGTTAGTTTGCCTCAGTGGGATAAAGGCCTCAGTCTGAGGGATCCCTCAGTGTTAGCAGACCTGTCTGTGAGAGGCCTCTGTGGGAGAACGGCCTCAGTATGAAAGGGCCTCAGTGGGATAAAGGCCTCAGTCTGAGGGAGCCCTCAGTGTTACCAGACCTCAGTGAGAGGCGCCTCAGTATGATAGGCTTCAGTATGAGGTAGTCTTCAGTCTGTGAGAGATCTCTGTGGAGAAGGGCCTCAGTGTGTTCAGTATAAGAAGGCCTCAGTGTTAGTTGTGAGAGAGGCATCAGAGAGAGGCCTCAGTGTGAGAAGGCCTCAGTGTGAGAAAGATGTAAGCAAACCCAGCAGCTCAGAGTTCCACTTACAAAAGGGTTTCCGCTGCTTCTTCTGCAAGCAGGACTTGACGTATCTCTCCAGCTCTCGCAACGTGGTGGGCTTCAAAGTCTCGAAATCGATCTCAATCTCGTCCGGGTTGGAGTCCCGGAGCGAGGGCTCCCGCGACTGGATGATGTGCACCACCCGGCCCAACTTCTCCCCCGGCAAGCGGTTGATGTCCAGGCTGAGCTGGCGCTTCTCGTCGTAGGTCATGGGCAGGCCTTCCTCTTCCTCGTTGGAGTCGTAGGTGGCGGGCGGCTGCTTCCCTCCCTTCTTTGGCTGCCTGGAAAATTCACGGAAGCACAGAATGCTACAGCTGGAAGGAACCCCAACCCCATTCTGCCAGAAAGACACAATTCTACCCCCCCCCCCCACATTGTAAAATATTTTATTGTGTGTGAGAATGACAAACAAAAAGCAAAAATTGTCAGAAATATTAAAAATTAACTGAGTATTTTTAATTACGAAAGTGTGAATCAAGCACTGAAAGTTAGTAGACCGAAGCCTGTTAAGAGTCAGTGGGCCAAAGTTGGTGATGTCCTGCAGAGCCTAGTTTAGGTGGTTCCGTACACCAGAAAGACACAATCTGAGCTCTCCTGACAGATGGCTATCTAGCCTCCATTTGAAGGCCTCCATGTTGTTGTTTATTTGTTCAGTCCTTCATCATCACCCACAACTCTTTCAAGGTTAAGCCAATCACATCAAGCATAACATCCATCCATCTTGGTCGGCCCACCTTCCCATTTCCTTCCATTTTCCCCAGCATCATACTCTTCTCTAAGCAATCCTGTCTTCTCGTTATATGGCCAGAAGGCCTCCATAGAATCCTAGAATATTGAGGCTTGTTGAAACCACTAGGTATTCAAGCTCTTATGAAAGGAGGGGAGGGATGGGGTCTGTCTTATTTCCCTTGGAAGGGCGTTCCAGAGGCGGGGGGCCACCACTGAGAAGGCCCTCTCCCTCGTCCCCACCAACCACGCTTGAGACAGTAGTGGGACCGAGAGGAGGACCTCCCCGGAAGATCTTCGAGTTCGCGCCGGTTCATAGAATTGAGATGCAATTGCGGAGATAGGCGGGGCCCAAACTGTTTAGGGCTTTATAGGTCATGACCTGCACCTTGAATTTGGCTCGGCAACTTATCGGCAGCGAATGAAGCTGTTTTAATAAGGGTGTTGTATGCTCCCTATAATTTGCTCCAGTAAGGAACCTGGCTGCCGCCCGTTGTACCAGTTCAAACTTCCAGACCGTCTTCAAGGGCAGCCCCATGTAGAGCACATTGCAATAGTCCAGTTTGGATGTAACCAAGGCGTGGACCACCCTGGCCAAGTAAGACTTCACGAGGTATGGAAAGAAGACACAATCCCTGACCAATATCTACAACAGCTTCCAAAGAAGGAGGCTTCCAAATCTTAGACATGGAAGGGACCTCAAAGGTTATCTAGCCCAGCTTCATTCTATTATGCAGGAAGACGTAGTCCGAGCATTCACGACAGATGGCCACCCAGCCTCTGCTGAAGGACCTCCTGTTAGGGATTCCTCATCTTTGGAAGAGGAAGGGGAGCAACGAAGTGCTCAGGAATTGGAGGGAGAAGAAGAATCAGACGATGAGGGTTTGAAAGTGCTCACATTTCTAGAGAGACGAAAAGAGACAGAGCACAGACAGCGTTCAGCTAGAATAGCTGCTAAAAACGTTGAGTAATTGGGAGACACCCTAGCACCTCCTGCGTGGGGAATTCAGGGCTATAAATCAGGAGCAGGAGCAGTCACCATTCGCTGGTAACAATACTCACAAGGGGAGAGTGGGCGGGGCTAACCGCCAAAGTTTTCAAATCTATCTAGAAGGTTCCGAAGGTGTCTGCTTAGGCGCAAAAACTACCATATGTGTGATTCACAGTTGACCACGTTGGGAAAACTGATGTTTTCACTCCAATGGAACCTGCTTTGTGTCTGCTGCTAAGGACTTAGTTCATTGCCCGTTGTCTGATGGAAGACTGGTGTTTCTTTTGGGACTTTGTAAGAGACTTTAATTTGTGTCTAGATTAAGACTTCCTTGCTTTCTTTTGCATTTTTCAATTGCATTTACTTATCCTTTGTGTTTGCTGCAGTAAAGCATTTTTCTTTAACTTTCTACATCGCCTAAAAGCTGTTTTTGAAGGGCAACTCACGACACCTCCAATGAACCCTACAGTTGGAGCCATTCAATCCAACCCTCTTCTGCCAGTTGGCAAGACACAACCCAACCATGCTCTTACCTGTTTGCCGTGGTGGTGCTGTTGGCCTTCTTTGCTGGCGCTTTCTTCTGCTGAGCCTGCTTCGCCGGCGGGGCCACCTTGGCTTTCTTCTCCTCCTCCGCCGCCTTCACTTTGTGCTTCTCCTTCTCCTTCTCTTTCTCCTTGTCCTTCTTCTTCTTCTCTTTCTCCTTCTTCTCCTTCTTCTTCTTGGGCTTGTTCACCGGGGCCTGCGACAGGGCGGCCAGCTGCTCGTGGACGGCCTTCAGCTGGCGGAGAAGAGTCAGAGGGTCAAAGCTAAGAGGGTCAAGCAGCTCAGGCCCCACAGAGCTTGGGGTTTACAGGGCGGGCGTTTGACCACTTAAGCATTGACTAAGTCCTGTTGGAGACCTCAAAAAACGTGTAGTCAGGAAGAAACAGAAGAATCAGATACTGGAAATCACTCAACATAATCCATAATGCAGGAAAGGGAGGAGAGACATTTCCAAAGGCTAATTTGGCCCTCCATATTTACACTTTTGGTTAAGCTTCTCTGTTGGGATCTCTAAGTCTTCTAGTGCAATTCCATGGTCAACGTCCACCAGAGTCATGCTGGAGGACCGAGAAAGGACATCTCTACAGAAAGCTTTAGGCCTTCTATGGGTGACCATAGATTTGTGCTGGAGGACATAGCAATTCCTAGATTCCCCAGACACTTCTAATTCTCCAAAATATTGTCTAAGTCCTGTTGGAATCCTCCGAAAATGGTCAAGGTCCAGCAGTGTCATGCTGGAGGATCTAAAGCAGTGTTTCCCAACCTTCCTAATGCCGTGACCCCTAAATTGTGAGGAGGGAGGGGGCCAGGGGACAGTTCCATCTTGTCTCCTGCATATGTCATCAGCTGGGGACCCACACCCCCCCAGCACCAACTGCCCTCTGGGCCAGATTGAAGAGGGGGGGCAGGGGACAGTTCCACCTTGCCTCATGTGCTATGCTAATAATATAATATCTATATATATAATAAAAGAGAATGTTTGTATCGGACAGAGGAAGGAGTATGTGGCAGCGTTCTGATTGGCTGCCGCTGCGGTGCTATTTGCATATGGTCTCTGATTGGCCACCTTCAATAGGAGCCCCTGGTGGAGAAGAGGGTTCATGGCAGAAACGGGGCATGACAGAAGGAAATTTGCATATGGTCTCTGATTGGCCAGCCTCAAATCCAACATTCCGAGATGAGAAAGAGAGGAAAGGAAAGGCCGGGGCCTGGGTCAGAACACTCCCAATACAGACGAAATAGGCACACAGAGCCCCCATCACCCACTCTACATCCTACTGCAGTTTGGAGGAGTATGAACCATGGATGATGGGACTTGCAGTACCACCACTCACATTCTGAGACCGCTGTTAACCTTATCCAATGCCTGATCAGGACCAAACTTCGCACATAGACCTCTCATGACCCACTTTACGTCCTGGTGTGGTTTGGCCGGGATGGACCATGGATTATGGGACTTGCAGTACTTTTGCTCAATTCTTGAGACCACTGCAACCCTCATCCAATTACCGATACAGACCATACTTGGCAAACTGAGTCTCCATGACACACTCTACATCCTGGTGCAGTTTGGAGGAGGATGCACCATGGACGATGGGACTTGCAATACTTGCACTCCTTTCCTAAGACCAATACAACTGCCAACAATGATGGATCAGGACCACAATTTACACAGAGAACCCGCATGACCCACTCTACATCCTGGTGCGGTTTGGAAGAATTTGACAATGGATGATGGGACTTGCAGTCACTTCACTCACTTCCTGAGACCACTGAGACCCTCGCCAATGACTCATCAAGACTAAACTTGGCACATGGAGCTTCAATGACCCATTCTACATCCTGGAGCAGTTTGGAGGACGACAGACCATGGATGATGGGACTTCAAGTACCTCCACTACCCAAGATTGCTGCAACCCTCATCTAATGACCGATCAAGACCAAACTTGGCACACACAGCCCCCATGACCCACCCTACATCCCGGTGCTGTGTGAAGGATGGACGATGGGTGATGGGACTTGCAGTACGTTCACTCACTTCCTGAAACCATAGCGACACTCATTCAAAAACCAATAAAGACCAAACTTGGAACATAGAGCCCCCATGGCCAACTCAACATTCTGGTGAGGTTTGGGGGAGTACAGACTATGGATGATGGGACTTCAAGTACCTCCACTCACTTCCCAAGACTTCTGCAACACTCATCTAATGACCAATCAAGACCAAACTTGGCACACAGAGCCCCCATGACCCACTCTCCATCCTGGAGCAGTTTGGAGGGATGGACCACAGATGATGGGACTCACAGTACCTTCACTAACTTCCTGAGACAACTGCGAGTCATATAAATAACTGATAAAGACCAACCTTGATATACAATTCCTTTCTCAAATAACCCGGGCAGCGCCGGGTCCCCAAGCTAGTAATATAATATAATATAATATAATAATATAATATAAATGTATATACATCTCTACTGCATATGTCATCAGCTGGGGACCCCCCCCCCCAGCACCAACTGCCCTCTGGGCCAGAGTGAAGGGGGGGGGGGGCAGCGGACAGTTCCACCTTGCCTCTTGTGCTATGCTAATAATATAATATAATATAATATAATATAATATAATATAATATAATATAATATAATTAATATATATAATATATATAATATATATAATATATATAATATATATAATCTAAATATATAATTATAATATCATATTATTATTAGTATAATAGGAGCCCCCGGTGGCGCAGTGGGTTAAAGCCCTGTGCCGGCAGGACTGAAGACCGACAGGTCGCAGGTTCGAATCCGGGGAGAGGCGGATGAGCTCCCTCTATCAGCTCCAGCTCCTCATGTGGGGACATGAGAGAAACCTCCCACAAGGATGATAAAACATCAAATCATCCGGGCGCCCCCTGGGCAACGTCCTTGCAGACAGCCAATTCTCTCACACCAGAAGCGACTTGCAGTTTCTCAAGTCGCTCCTGACACAACAAAAAAAAAATCATGACACAGTAATTCAGTGATAAAAACATCACATCATCCAGGCGTCCCCTGGGCAACGTCCTTGCAGACGGCCAATTCTCTCACACCAGAAGCGACTTGCAGTTTCTCAAGTCGCTCCTGACACGACAAAATAAATAAATAAATAAATAAATAATAATATTTATATTACATGTAATATTACTAATAATATTATAAAATAATGGTGTATTTCAATATAGTAATAATTAATATTGATATTGTACTATGCTAATAATAATAATAATAATAATAATAATAATAATCTTTATTTATGCCCCGCCAATATCTCCCCAACGGGGACTCAGGGCGGCTAACATGAGGCCAAGCCCAGACAACACATTACAGCAGTGGTTCTCAACCTGTGGGTCCCCAGTGTTTTGGCCTACAACTCCAGAAATCCAATCCAGTTTACCAGCTGTCAGGATTTCGGGGAGTTGAAGGCCAAAACATCTGGGGACCCACAGGTTGAGAAACACTGTATTACAGCAAAAAAAAAAAAACCCCTCAAAAACATAAGCAACAAGCAACAGCATCATAATTATCTCGTAAGCTGCTCTGAGTCCCCTTCGGGGTGAGAAGGATGGCATATAAATGTCTTAAATAAATAAAACAGTTCCTCATGTTGCGGTGACCCCCAACCATAACATTATTTTTGTGCCTACTGCATAATTCTAGTTTTGCTCCTGTTATGAATCGTCATGTAAGAATCTGATATGCAGGATGTATTTTCATTCACTGGACCAAATTTGGCACAAATACCCGATATGCCCAAATTTGAATACTGGTGGGGTTGGGAGGGAGATTGATTTTGTCATTTGGGAGTTATAGTTGCTGGGATTTATAGTTCATCTACAATCAAAGAGTGTTCTGAACTCCACCAATGATGGAATTGAGCCAAACTTGGCACACAGAACTCCCATGACCAACAGAAAATACTGGGAGGGTTTGGTGGCATTGACCTTGAGTTTGGGAGTTGTAGTTCACCTACATCCAGAGAGCACCGTGGACTCCAACAATGATGGATCTGGACCAAATTTGGCACGAATACTCAATATGCCCAAATGTGAACACTGGTGAAGTTTGGGGGTAAATAGTGTTAGAGCTATGTGTGTGTAATGTGAATTTTTCAATTGGTAGTTGAAAGCTAGTGTGTGTGAAGCTTTCCAGTAGATCAGTGTTACTCAACCTTTCTAATGCCATGACCCCACAACATGAGGAACTGATATGAATCAGAATGTAAATATCTGATAGGCAGGATGTGTTTTCATTCACTGGACCAAATTTGGCACAAATCTCTGATAGGCCCAAATCTGAATACTGGTGGGGGTGTGGGGTAGGGGATTCGGTTTTGTCATTGGGCAGTTGTGGTTGCTGGGATTTATAGTTAGTTCACCTACAATCAAAGAACATTCTGAACTCCACCAACAGAACTCCCACGAAGAACAGAAAACACTGGAAGGTTTTGGTGGGCTTGGTGGACATTGACCTTGAGTTTTGGAGTTGTAGTTCACCTACGTCCAGGGACTCAAACAATGATGGAGCTTGACCAAACTTGGCATGAGTACTCAATATGCCCAAATGGAGTGGTGGAGTTTGGGGAAAATAGACCTTGACATTTGGGAGTTGTAGTTGCTGGGATTTATAGTTCACCTGCAATCAAAGAGCACTCTAAACTCCACCAACGATGGAATTGAACCAAACTTGGCACACAAAACTTCCCTGACCAACAAAAAATACTGGGAGGGTTTGGTGGACATTGATCTTGAGTTTGGGAGTTGTAGTCCACCTACATCCAGAGAGCACTGTGGACTCAAACAATGTTGGATCTGGACCAAACTTAGCACGAATACCCAATATGCCCAAATGTGAACTCTGGTGGAGTTTGAGGAAAATAGAGGGTTTGGTGGGCGTTGACTTTGAGTTTGGGAGTTGTAGTTCACCTACATCAAGAGAGCACTGTGGACTCAAACAATGATGGATCTGGACCAAACTTAGCACGAATACTCAATATGCCCAAATGTGAACTCTGGTGGAGTTTGGGAAAAATAGACCTTGGCATTTGGGAGTTGTAGTTGCTGGGATTTATAGTTCACATAAATCAAAGAGCATTCTGAACCCCACCAACGATAGAATTGGGCCAAACTTCCCACACAGAACTCCCATGACCAACAGAAAATGTGTTTTCTGGTGGTCTTTGCTGACCTCTCTGACACCCCCTCGTGACCCACCCAGGGGTCCTGACCCCCAGGTTAAGAAACGCTGCAGTAGAGCAATGGTTAATTGCAAAGAGTGAAGGTTTCACTGCTAGAGAGACACTTTGGAACGTGTGTATTTTATGATTGTGAGCCTAAGGAGATGCTAAATCTCCAAGAGAGAGGAAGGTGGCTGAATTAACCCTCTCACCCACACGCCGACAAATAGATCTTGACATTTGGGAGTTGTAGTTGCTGGGACTTATAGTTAGCCTACATTCAAAGTGAATTTTGAACCTCACAAATGATACAATGGGGCCAAACTTCCCACGCAGAACCTCCATGCTTTGAAGGGACTTGCAGGCACGAGACTCCCTCCCACCTTGCACGCTCTCCCTCGCTCGCCATATGCCGAGCACGTCTGCTCTCCCCTCCCTGCGTGCGGTCTCAGAAACAGCCCTCCCCTTGGTTCAGAGGCTGGCCAATCACAGCAGGAGGAGGGCTTTTGGTAGGAGGGATCCTCCCTCCAGCCTCGCGCACTCTCCCTTGCCTGAATATTTGCACCACGCTACCATGTGCCGAGCACACCTGCTCTACCCTCCCCATTTGGAACCTCAGAAACAGCCCTCCCTTGGCTGAGAGGCTGGCCAATCACAGCAGGAGGAGGGCTTTTGGTAAGAGGGAGCCTCACTCCAGCTTCGCGCACTCTCCTTTGCCTGAACATTTGCACCACGCTACCACGTGACGAGCACACCTGCTCTCCCCTCCCTGTTTGGAACCTCAGAAACAGCCCTCCCCTTGGCTAAGAGGCTGGCCAATCACAGCAGGAGGAAGGCTTTTGGTAGGAGGGAGCCTCCCTCCAGCCTCGCGCACTCTCCCTTGCCTGAACATTTGCACCATGCTGCCATGTGGTGAGCACACCTGCTCTCCCCCCTTCCCTGAGTGAGGTCTCAGAAACAGCCCTCCCCTTGGTTGAGAGGCCGGCCAATCACAGCAGGAGGAGGGCTTTTGGTAGGAGGGAGCCTCCCTCCAGCCTCGCGTGCTCTCCCTCGCCTTCACATGTGCATTACGCTGTGATGTGCCGAGCATGCCTGCTCTCCCCTCCCCACGTGGCATCTCAGAAACAGCCCTCTCCTTGGCTGAGAGGCCGGCCAATCACAGCAGGAGGAGAGCTTTTGGTAGGAGGGAGCCTCCCTCCAGCCTCACGCACTCTCCTTTGCCTGAACATTTGCACCATGCTGCCATGTACTGAGCACGCCTGCTCTCCCCTCCCTGCGTACGGTCTCAGAAACAGCCCTTCCTTGGCTGAGGCCGGCCAATCACAGCAGGAGGAGGGCTTTTGGTGGGAGGATTCCAAAAAGGAAGAGGACAGGCGGAGAGATCTTCAGCCTTCTCTGCCAAAGGGGCTCCTAAGACCATCAAAAATATATGTTTTCTGGTGGTTTGTGAGACCCCTCTGAAATCCCCTCGCAACTCCCATTGCTTCCCGCATTAACCCCCCTTTTTTTTCCTCCCCCCAAGAGCCCTGTGATTACAATACGGTATCACATACAAAGGTAATCAAAAGAGAAACGAAAAAAGGAAAAAAATTGAAAAGAAACAAATACATTCCATCCATTCCAGTCTCGGGAGTCATTGACCTTGTAGCACTGCCTCACTGACCGGGAACAGTCCTGTGTGAACAAGAAGACAGGCAGGGAAGCAAATAGTGCATCCACACTGCGGCTCCAGGCGGGTTTTTGGTTGGGGGTCGGGGGGGGCAGGGAATCTAAGGGACCCCCAAACTCTTTCATCCCTTCGCTTCCTGGCTAACCTTGCACGATGGGGCCATTTGAGCAGGTTCTCCATACGGAGATCTTTGCAACATACCTCCAACAAACCTCCCACTTGGCGAACACCCCTCCGATATGTGATATTCATTTATTTATTTACTATATTTATACACTTTCCAGGGCGTCCCCTTCCAGGTGCATCTACATTGTGGAATTAATGCAGTTTGACCACCCCTCTTGACTGGCCAGGGTTTCTCAAAGCTATGAATCATGGGAGTCATCGTTTGACAGAGCCTTGTATTGTCGAAGGCTTCCATGGCTGGAATCACTGGGTTGCTGTGAGTTTTCCGGGTTGGATGGCCATGTTCCAGAAGCATTCTCTCCTGACGTTTCTCCCACATCTATGGCAGGCATCCTCAGAGGTTGTGAGGTCTGTTGGAAACTAGACAAGTGGGAATTCTATATCTATGGAAGGTTCAGGATGCGAGAAAGAACTCTTCTTTATGTGAGGGAAGCGTGAATTTTGCAACAACAACAACAACAACAAATTCTTCCTCATGTTCAGAGATTCCATCTGAACATGAGGAAGAACTTCCTGACTGTGAGAGCCGTTCAGCAGTGAAACTCTCTGCCCGGAGTGTGGTGGAGGCTCCTTCTTTGGAAGCATTTAAACAGAGGCTGGATGGCCATCTGTCAAGGGTGCTTTGAATGCAATATTCCTGCTCCTTGGCAGGGGGTTGGACTGTATGGCCCATGAAGTCTCTTCCAACTCTATGATTCTATGATTCCCCCAGGCAGGAAGCAGCCAGGCTTTGAAGCTGCAAAGCCACTCCATGCTAATCAAGCTGGCCAGTTGCAACATACTCACTTGCCTCCGCCAGACAAGACTTCTTTCTCCCACCCTGGACATTATTCCACGGGTATAAAAACCAAGCATTCCCCCAGGCAGGAAGCAGCCAGGCTTCGAAGCTGCAAGGCCACTCAATGCTAATCAAGCTGGCCAATTGCAACATACTCACTTGCCTCAGCCAGGCAAGAGTTCTTTCTCCCACCCTAGATATCATTCCAGATAGCTAATTTTCCTAGTTTCTAACAAACCTCACAACCTTTATGCCTGCTATAGATGTGGGCAAAACGTCAGGAGAGAATGCTTCTGGGACATGGCTATACAACTTGGAAAACTCCACAGCAACCCAGTGATTTGGCCATGAAAGCCTTCGACAACACAATGAGGGTTATGTGACCCTCCGAGGTTTCAGGAGGGGAAAGTATTATTATTATTATTATTATTATGTGGTTATTATTATTATTATTATTATGAGACGCAAAGTGGCGAATGCATCCCCCTAGCCTTCCACTTTGCCCATCCATCCAAGATGAGTAAGTAACTTCTGAATGGGCTCCTTGGTGAGATCTATTTTTCTAGGCTTGGCCTTGAAAGACCCTCCTCCAGGTTCAGGAGAAGGACGAACCAACGCCTGAAGTGGAGCGAAGGCCGAGAGGAAGCCAAAGAGGAGGCTCTCACCTGCTCCTGGAGTTCGGCCAGACGGGTGGCCCGCTCCTCTTCCGAGTCCGAACTGTCCGAATCCGAGGAGCTCTCCTCGCTGCTGTGGCTGCTCTCCATGCTTTTGCTCACCACGGGGGCAGCTGGAGGCGGAGGAGGCGGGGGCTCGGCCGGCTCGTCCGGCATCTTGGCGAACCTCATCTCAAAGACGTCCTGCGGGGAGAGCAGAAGGTGGAACGGGTTAGGAAGGGACACGCTGCAAACATCTTCTGATTATGGGATGGGTGACTCCTGGCTTGAAAACAGCCCACGGGAAAGGGATTTCGGGAGCACAATTCCATCCTAGATTTTCTGTGCTTCCTCCACCACAGACATCCCAGTGTTTCCGACTCTCTCCATTGGGGTGCAATTTGCATGACCCCGCCCACTGCCTCTCCCTTAACTCTTTAATATTCTTTTCTATGGCACACAGAGGAATTGATCCGTAACTGAGAGTTGGGGAGAATTCACCATGATGTATAGGAGTTGAAAGTGTTGGGATGTATAGTTCACCTGCAATTTAAGACCTGCACTCTGAACTCCAGCAACAATGGATCTGGACCTAGCTTTACGCACAGAGTCCCCATGACCAACAAAAAATTCTGGAGGGATGTCTAAGAGTTGTAGTGAAGAGTGAAGAGAGAGGGGGCCAGGGAGACAGTTCCACCTTTGTCTCCTGTGCTGTACTAAAAATATAATTATAATATACTAGCTGTACCCTGGCCACGCGTTGCTGTGGCCCTCAGAAAACAGGAATCCCGGACATGAAACAATCTGGGCTAGGGTTCAACATCCTCACAAATAATAATAATAATAATAATAATAAACTTTATTTATTTAATAATAAACAAAGGTTTCCTGTAGGAAGGAAGAAGCCACGCTTTTAAGCTGCAAGGCTTTTCAAAAGTTATGAAAGTGGGCAATGTATGTGTATATGTATATGTGTGTGCATGTGTATATATGTGTGTTTATATGTGTATATTTGTGTGTGCTTGTGTATATATGTGTGTAGGTATGTGTGTATGTGTATATGTATATATGTGTGATTTGCATGTGTATATGTATGTGTGTGCATGTGTATATATGTGTGTTTATATGTGTATATTTGTGTGTGCTTGTGTATATGTATATGTTTATGTGTGTGCATGTGTATATATGTGTTTATATGTGTATATTTGTGTGTGCTTGTGTATATATGTGTGTAGGTATGTATGTATCTGTATATGTATATATGTGTAGTTTGCATGTGTATATGTATATGTTTATGTGTGTATATTTGTGTGTGCTTGTGTATATATGTGTATGTGTATATGAATATATGTGTGATTTGCATGTGTATATGTATATGTTTATGTGTGTGTGTGTATATATGTGTGTATGTGTATATGTATATATGTGTGGTTTGCATGTGTATATGTATGTTTATGTGTGTGCATATGTATATATGTGTGTAGGTATGTGTGCATGTGTATATGTATATGTATGGTTTGCATGTGTATATGTATATATTTATGTGTGTGTATGTGTGTGTATATGTGCATATGTGTGTTGTTTGTTTATGTGTGCAGGCTTGGGCCTACTTGGGCCATCCAGACATTTTGGACTCCAGTTACCACAATTCCTAACAACCAGAACAGCATGGCTGTTAGGAATTGTGGGAGTTGAAGTCCAAAATGCCTGGAGGGCCCAAGTAGGCCCAGGCCTGGAGTATGACATTTGTTACTGAACCCTGTATCTCTTTCGAGGCCTGTGCAGCCTCCTCCTGGCGTGGTTCCTCCTCCCTCCCTTCCCTTTCTCTCTCGCCTTCCTAGTCTGACGGATGCAAAAGGCCTCCCCTTCCTTCCTTGCTTCTTTGCTTCCTCTGTCCCTCCTTCTCCCACTCCCTGAGGAGGCTCTACAGGCTGCTTTTCAGAGCAGCTTTGCTGGGCTGTTCCTTTCCTCCGGGGCCTTTCTCCTCTCGGCTCGCTGTTTGCAGGGCTGCTGGCTTGGGTCCCAAAGCAGGAACAGCCACCTGCTTTGCTACGGATGGCTGTTTGTTTCCTCCTCTCACACAGGAGGGGGCGGGGCTATGTTTTGCGCATGCATGGTAATATATTTTTTTACTTTTTTCAGGATTTTAAAGCTATTTTCACAGTTTTTGGGTTTTTTTTAGATTGTTGGTCATATCTTGGGGTATGAGACGTTTGGACGTCAGTTGGACACATAGTTTGTTTGTTTTGAGCCTACTCAGGACGCACAGAAGCTTTTTATATATTAAGATTGTATTGTATATACATATAATATTTATATTACAATGTTATATAATATACTACTACCACTAATACAATATTATAATATTACATGTAATATTACTAATAATATTACAATATAATGGTATAGTACAATATAGTAATATATAATATTTCTTTCTCTCCTTCCCTCCTTCCTTCTCTACCCTTCTTTGTTTCCTTCCTTCTCTCTTTCCCTCCCTCCTTCTCGCCTCCCTCCCTTCCCTACCCTTCTTCTCTCCTTCCCTCCCTTCTTCTCTCCCTCCTTCCTTCTCTACCTTTCTTTCTTTCCTTCTTTCTCTTCTTCTCTCCCTCCTTCCTTCTCTACCCTTCTTTCTTTCTTTCCTTCCTTCTCTTTCCCTCTTTCCCTCCCTCCTTCTCTCCTCCCTTCCTTCTCTACCCTTCTTTTTTCCTTCCTTCTCTCCTTCCCTCCTTCTTTCCCTTCTTCTCTCCCTCTTTCTCTTCCTCTTCCTCTCCCTCCTTCCTTCTCTACCTTTCTTTTCCTTCTTTCTCTCCTTCTTTCCCTTCTTCTCTCCCTCCTTCCTTTTCTCCCCTTCTTTCTTTCCTTCCTGCTCTCCTTCCATCCCTCCTTCTTTCCCTTCCTTCTTTCTGTGTATGTGTTTTGTGTGTGTATATGCATATATGTGTGTATATATGTCTGTTTGTGTATATATATGTGGTTTTGCGCATGCGTTGTAATGTTGTTTTTTAAGTCCCTTCTGTTCTGTTTTTCAGTGTTTTGCTGAGTGGTCACTCGTTGGCCTGACAGGTGTCTTGTGTCCAAATTTGGTGTCAATTTGCCCAGTGGTTTTTGAGTTCTGCTAATCACACAAACGAACATTACATTTTTATTTATATAAAAGATGATTTTTTTTCAAATAATATGGGTAATACTGGGCACCTAAGCTAGTTAAACATATATGTGACAGGGCTCACATTTACAGAGAAGGGACTTGTAATAGATGTAATAATAATAGAATAAAATAATAGTAAATGTAATAATAAAAACTGAGTAAAATAATAAATGTAATAATAATAAATAGAGTAAAATAATAAATGTAATAAAAATAATAAGTACAATAATGGATGTCATAATAATAGAATAAAATATTAGTAAATATAATAATAAAATGGACCAAAATAATAAATGTAATAAAAATAAGTACAATAATGGATGTCATAATAATAGAATAAAATAATAGTAAATGTAATAATAATAAATTGAGTAAAATAATAAATGTAATAAAAATAATAAGTACAATAATGGATGTCATAATAGAATAAAATAATAGCAAATGTAATAATAAAAATTGAGTAAAATAATAAATGTAATAAAAATAAGTACAATAATGAATGTCATAATAATAGAATAAAATAATAGCAAATGTAATGATAAAAATTGAGTAAAATAATAAATGAAATAATAGAGTAAAAGAATAAATATCATAATAATAGAGTAAAATAATAAATGTAATATTAGAGTAATAAAATAAATGTATTAATGATAAATAATAAATGTAATAATGTAATGTATTAATATTATTATTAATGTATAAAATATAATAATAGAGTAAATATAATAATAGAGAAAAAATAAATCTATATAAATAAAAATGTAATGTCCGTTTGTGGGATTAACAAAACTCAAAAACCACTGGACAAATTGACACAAAATTTGGACACATTACAACTATCAGGCCAATGAGTAAGCATCACTCATAAAAACACTGAAAAACACAGCATTATCAACTTTAAAAGCCAAAAAAAAATTAGTAAGTACAATAATGGATGTCATAATAATAGAATAAAATAATAATAAATGTAATAATAAAAATTGAGTAAAATAATAAATGGAATAAAAATAATAATAAGTACAATAATGGATGTCATAATAATAATAGAATAAAATAATTTGAAAAGTAGAGCCCTGGTTTCCATAAGCTAGCAAATACCGTTTTGGCCATGGATAAACGTAAACAACTCTTTTCGAACGTAATAAGAAGCTAAAAAACACCCAAAAGCGATTCAAAAGGGCTTTGTTCTTCTCTCCCAGGGCAAGCAAGACAAGAGAGCGGATCCCTCGTTGAATGAATGGGATCTGCCGGCATCAAAAAGAGCGAAGGGAAGCCTGGATCGTGTTGGCTACGAGCCCCATTTACCTGAAGCTTCCGCGCCATGGCCACGACTTCATGGTCGGGTGGGTTGTACTTGTAACAATTAGAGAACATTAACCGAATATCTGCCGCAAAACCCTGGGCGTCTGGATATTCTCGGCTGTCCATTTTTTTCTGCAAACACAGGAAGCCAGAAAAGTGGGGAGGGAAGAAGGAAGGAGAGGGACGATCGGGTGGGAGACGGGGAAGGGGAGGAAAGCCATAAGCGACATGCGTTCAGAGATGAAATGGGCAACATGAGGAAGCTGGTTCTATGCAAGGTCTCTTTTTTTAAAAAAAGCAAGCGGGGGGAAAAAAAGTCATTTAGTTCTGTTGAAAGATCAAAAATGGACCGTGAAGGCCTTTGCAACCGTCAGAACAGATTCTGCCAGCATTTCTGACATGGAATTGTCATAGTGATGGGGAAAGCATTGCTATGCTTATAAAACTATACAGATCTCAATGCAAGCCATGGTTGAGTTAAAATACTGCATATACTCAAGTATAAGCCGACTCAGAAACCACTGGGGCAATTGACACCAAATTTGCACACTATGTCCCTAACAACCCAATGAATGAAGGACCTTCCTTCTCTCCCTCCCTTCCCTTCTTTCCTTCATTCCTTTTCTTCTTTCCTTCTCCTTCCTTTCCTTCTTTCCCTCCTTCCCTTCCTTCCTGTCCCTCCTTCCTTCTTTCTTTCCTTCTTTTCCTCCCTCCCTTTCCTTCTTCTTTCCCTTTCTTCATTTCCTTCCCCTTCATTTCCTTCCCTCTCTCCTTCCTTCATCCCTTTCTTCATCCCTCTCCTTCCTCCTCCCTCCCTCCCCCTCCTTCTTTCTTTTCCTTCCTTCCCTTCTTCCCTCCTTCCCTCCCTTCCCTTTCCCTTCCTTCATGTCCCTCCTTCTTTCCTTCTTCTTTTCCTTCTTTCTATGTAAGATATAAATACAATATTAAATGGAAGGGACAGTCAAGAAGTAACGAGAGAAGGAGGGAAAGAGGGAAGGAAGGAAGGAGAGAAGGAGGGAGGGAAAGAAGGAAAGAGAAGATAGGAAGAGGAAGGAGGAAGGAAATAAAAAAGTGAAGGAAAGGAGAGGAAGGAAGGAGAGAAGGAAGGAAGGAAGGAAGGAACCAAAGAGCAAAGAAAGGGAGGAAAGAAACAGGTAGAGATGGAAGAAAGAGGAGAGATAGGGAAAGAAAAAGAGGAAGGAAGGAAAGAGGGAAGGAAGGAGAGAAAGAGAGAGGGAAGGTTGGCCACAGCAACGCGTGGCGGGTACAGCTAGTAAATGTAATAAAATAATAATAGAGTAAAATAATGTAAATGTAATAAGAACAATGATAAATAGAGTAAAATAACAAATACCTATAGGCCTTGGAGAGCTTTTTCAGGCTTAAAAAAAGGGCTGAAAAACTTGGCTTATACTCAAGTATATACGGTCATTAAAATTTGGTTAGAAAAACCTGCCTACGAGGGCTGAAGGAGGTATTGCAAACCTCCAGCCTAGACATTTCCCATCTAGTGACAGATAAGAGTATTACAGACTCACCTGGAGGACCTAGAAAAACCCACACTACAAATCTTCAAATATTTAGAACCAAGATCCATATTCTTGGGATCTGTTCTGTCTAATCTAAATCCAAACAATGGAGCAATGGATTAAAATGGAAGGGGAAAAGATTCCACCTATACATTAGGAAGAGAGTGGCGTATGTTGTCACTGGAGTTTGTAAGCAGTGGCTGGATGGCCATCTCTTGGGTGGGATCGGATTGTGTCTTCCTGCCTGGAGGAAGGGATTTGAACTGTGGGATCCCTTCCAACCCTAAACCCAGATGTTGGATAAGCTGACTACACGATAGAAGGAGAGAATGGGGAAGGGACATACTTTCACACTACTGAGATCCATCGGGTGCTTGATGATATCGTGGTAGTCGTGGAGCTCCAGGGCCTCGGCGTCGACCGGCTTGTAGAAGGGCCAGGCGTAGGCCGCGTGCTTCTTGGAGAGCATCTCCTTCAGGATGCTGTCGCAGTACTTGAGGTGCTCCGTGAGCTTGCCCTTCTTCCCAGCGTGTTGCGGGATCTCCCCATCTTCCAGGTCCTTCTTGGGGGGTTTGATGGGCCGCCCGCCGCTCTCCCGCCGAGCCACCACTTTGGCCTGCTTGGCGTCCAAGAGCGGCGTGGGAGACTCGCTCCGACTGGCCGTGATGGCCGACGTGGTGGGCGTGGTGGTGTCCGCTTTCCGCTTCACCCCCTTTTTCTGAAAGTCAAACGAAACAGCCATTGTTAGGCTTTGTGTGTGTCCGCTTCACCCCCTTTTTCTGAAAGTCAAACGAAACAGCCATTGTTAGGCTTTGTGTGTGTGGGTAGGTATGGATGTGTACGCAGAGAATCCTAGAGTGGAAGGGAACTCAAAGGCTATCTAGTCTAACCCTCTTCTGCCATGCAGGAAAAGCATACGGCGTTTCCTTTTCGTGGTTCGCTTTTAGCGGACTCGCTGTTTCGTGGGTTTTCAAAATATTAATCTATATATATAAAAAATGAAAAGGGCGTCCAACGGGACGGCAAAACTAAAAAAAACCCCGACGAAAATTTATCAAATTTCCCATGCACATACCTCAACCCACAAGGTATGCACAAATCTCATCAAAATAGCAAACAACATTTCACAAAACCCACAAAAGGGAGCATGCGCAGAAGCGCCCCGGCGCGAGTCCCCCGCCGCGCGCACATTGCTGGCCAACGCTCCCTCGCCGCAAACCACGCCCCCTCCCTTCGGCGCCCCGCCCCACCCAGACTCAATTCTTTCCCTCCTCCACTTCCGCCGACCACGCCCCCTCGCCGCAAACCACGCCCCCTCCCTTCGCCGCCCAGCCCTTTCCCACCCTGACTCAATCCATCCCTCCTCCCCCTCCCCCCCTGACCCCCCCCGCGCAACCCCCCCCTCCCTTTGCCGCCCCGCCCCTTCCCCTGACTCAATCCTTCCCTCCTCCCACGCCCCCTCCGGGAAGTCACGCCCCTCCCTTGCGGCCCCGCCCCTTGACAAGTTCTCTTCATCCCTGCTCCCCCTCTGCCGCCCACGCCCCCGCGCAACCCACGCCCCCTCCCTTTGCCGCCCTGCCCCTTCCCGCCCTGACTCAATCCTTCCCTCCTCCCATGCCCCCTCCGTGGAAGTCACGCCCCCTTCCTTCGCTGCCCCACCCCTTCCTGCATTTCCGCTCCCTCGCCTGTCAGTCATGCTCCCAGCATTTCCGGCGGACAACCGAGGCCTCGCCGAGCGCCGCGGTGGTTGCAGCCTCCTAGGCAGCAGGCTCAATCAAGGAAGAGGAAAAACATAGAAGGAAGGAAGGAAACAGAGAAGGAAACATGAAAGCAAAGAGCGAAGGACAGAAAGAAAGAGGTAGAGAAGGAAGAAAAGAGTGAAAGAGGAAAGAAGAGGGATGGAAAGAAATGGGTAGAGAAAGAAGGAAGGAGAGAAGGAAAGAAAAGGAAGGAAAGAGGAGCGAAGGAAGAAGAGAAAGAAGAGAAAGAGGGGGGAAGGAAGGACAGACAAAAGGAAGAATGGAAACAAAAACCAAAGGAAGGAAGGAAGGAAAGAGGCAGAGAAGGAAGAAAGAGAAAGGGAAGGAAAAGAAAAAAGAAGGAAACAGGAAGAGAAGGAAGGAAGGAGAGAAGGAAAGAAGAAAAGGGAATGAGGGAAAGAAGGAGAGAAAGAGGGAGGTAAGGTGGGCCACAGCAACACATGGCAGGGAAAGCTAGTCTATCTATATAAATACAAATGCAATGTTCATTTGTGGGATTTACGTAACTCAAAAACCACTGGACGAATTGACAGGAAATTTGGACACTATACCCCTAACAGACCAACAAGTGACCATCACTCATAAAATCCCACCAAAAAACAGCAGAAAGGAGTAAAAAGCCCCATAAAGCAAAATGATGAAAAGCGAAATGATGATACAGAAAAAAGGGAAGGAAGAGGGAGGGAGGGAAGGAAGGGGAGAAAGAAAGAAAGAAAGAAGAGGGAAGGAAAGAAAGAAGGAAAGGGGGAAGGAAGCATGGAAGCAAAGAGAAAGGAAGGAAGGAAAGAGGTAGAGAAGGAAGAAAGGAGAGAAAAAAAGAAGAGAAAGAGGGAGGGAAAGAAAGAAGAAAGAGAGAAGGAAGATGGAAGCAAAGAGCAAAGGAAGGAAGGAGAGAAAGAAGTAGGAAAAGAAGGGAAGGAGGAAAGAGGAAAGAGATAGAAGAGGAAGGAAGGAGAGAAAGAAAGGAAAAAGGGAAGGAAGGGAAAGAGGGAGCGAAGGAAGGAGGGAAAGAAGAGAAGAAAGAGGGAAGAAAGGAAAGAAAAGAAGGAGGAAGCAAAAAGTGGGAAGAAAGGAAAGAGGAAGAGAAGGAAAAAAGGTAGAAAGAAAAAAGAAGAAGAGAAAGAGGGAGGGCAAGAAAGAAGGAAAGAAGGAGAGAAGGAGAAGGAAGGAAGGAGAGAGAAAGGAGAAAAGAAAGGGGGGAGGGAAGAAAGAGGTAGAGAAGGAAGGAAGGAGAGAAAGAAAGAAAAAAGGGAAGGAAGGGAGAGAGGGAGAGAAGGAAGGAGGGAAAGAAGGAGAGATAGAGGGAAGAAAGGAAAGAAAGAAGGAAGGAAGGAAGAAAAAGCGAAGGAAGGAAGGAAAGAGGTAGAGAAGGAAGGAAAGGAGAGAAAGGGAGGAAAAGAAAAGGGGGAAGAAAGGAATGAGGTAGAGAAGGAAGGAGAGAAGGAAAGAAGAAAAGGGAAGGAAGGAATGAAAGAGGGAGCGAAGGAAGGAGGGAAAGATGGAGGGAAGGTTGGCCACAGCAACATGTGGTGGGTACAGCTAGTCTATATAAATAAATATGTCATGTTCGTTTGTGGGATTAACAGAACTCAAAAACCACAAGACGAATTGACACCAAATTTGGACACAAGACACCTAACAACCCAATGTATGTCCTTCACTCAAAAAAATTGATTTTGTCATTTGGGAGTTGTAGTTGCTGGGATTTATAGTTCACCTACAATCAAAGAGCATTCTGAACCCCACCAACGATAGAATTGAACCAAACTTAGCACACAGAATTCCCATGACCAACAGAAAATACTGGAAGGATTTGGTGGGCATTGACCTTGAGTTTGGGAGTTGTAGTTCACCTACATCCAGAGAGCACTGTAGACCCAAACAATGATAGATCTGGACCAAACTTGGCACGAATACTCAATATGCCCAAATGTTTACACTGGTGGAGTTTAGGGGGGAAAGCGACCTTGACATTTGGGAGTTAAAGTTGCTGGGATGTATAGTTCACCTGCAATCAAAGAGCATTCTGAACCTCAATAATGATAGAATTGAGCCAAACTTCCCATAAAGGATCCCCATGGCTCCCTCCAGCCTCACACACTCTCCCTGGCCCCGCACATGTGCACCATATAGCGTAACATATAACCAAACTGATATTACTTAACATCTAAAAACAAACAGTGCACTTTTCTAATAACCCAGGCATTGCCAAGTTAGTCATAATAATATAGATGGCTCTTTGAGTACAAGAAAAGTACCGATACATTTCGGAATGGTGTATTGTGCGTGTAAGGAGAAAAGAGGCCTACCTTGACAATGGGTGGCGTAGGAGGGACGACCGGCATGATGGGAGCGGCGGGAGGAGGGGGAGGCGGCGGCGGCGGGGGAACGGTGGCCGGGGGAGAGGCGATGGGGGCAATGGTTGCGGTGATGGTTGGCACGGGCGTCACAGCGATGACCGGCGTCTGCGAGACGGTGGGTGGGACGTTCTGGAAAGGGGCCGGCGGAGTCACCGAAGAGACAGCTGTGGTTGCCGGATGCGGGGCTCCTGTTTTCAAAAGAGGAACGAGAGAAGACTAAACTCACAATTTCACCCAGTCACCACGAACAGAAGCAGCTGGTATGACCACCATATTCACTGGATACCCAAGATAACATTTATCTACAAAATAGGCATTTTCTAGATCACCCATCATGACCCTACTATTTATTTATTTATTTATTTACTTACTACATTTATACTCCACCCTCTCTCACCCCGAAGGGGACTCAGAAAGGCTCACAAGTTATATGTACATACAATATATTATATCATTAGTATATCACAACATTAGCATTATATATTACTATACTGTACAATATTAGTATACTGCAATATTATTAGTACGATTATTTATTTATTTATTTATTTATTTACTGTCCTTGTATACCGCCGTTTCTCAGCCTAACTGGCGACTCAACGCGGTTTACAACAGAATATACAGTACACAGTATACAATTAAAACCGTAAAAAACATAATACACAATATTTCATAAATCACAATCCAATACATCTCCTAACTAAAATCGTGGTCCAATTGCATCATCCATATTACCAATCCGTAGTCGACACATTCATTGCACCGAATTAACCAAATGCCTGCTTGAACATCCAAGTTTTTAGTCTTTTTCGGAATACCATCAGCGAGGAGGCTGATCTTACCTCCATGGGAAGGGCGTTCCAGAGCCGAGGGGCCACCACAGAAAAGGCCCTGTCTCTCGTCCCCGCCAGCCGCACCTGTGAAGCAGGCGGGATAGAGAGCAAGGCCTCCCCAGAAGATCTTAGGGTCCTGGTGGGCTGATAGGCCGAGATACGTTCGGATAGGTAGGTTGGGCCAGAACCGTTTAGGGCTTTAAAGGCCAACGCCAGCACTTTGAATTGAGCCCGGTAGCAAATCGGCAGCCAGTGGAGCTGGTGCAGCAGAGGAGTTGTGCTCCCTGCGCTCCGCTCCAGTTAGTATCATGGCTGCCAACCGTTGGACTAATTGGAGCTTCCGAGCCGTCTTCAAAGGCAACCCCACGTAGAGAGCGTTGCAGTAGTCTAAACGGGATGTAACCAGAGCGTGGACTACCGTGGCCAAGTCAGACTTCCCAAGGTACGGGCGCAGTTGGCGCACGAGTTTTAACTGTGCGAATGCTCCCCTGGTCACCGCCGAAACCTGGGGTTCCAGGCTCAGCTGTGAGTCCAGGATCACACCCAAACTGCAAACCTGCGTCTTCAGGGGGAGTGCAACCCCATCCAACACAGGCTGTAACCCTATACCCTGTTCGGCCTTACGACTGACCAGGAGTACCTCTGTCTTGTCTGGATTCAATTTCAATTTGTTCGCCCCCATCCAGACCGTCACAGCGGCCAAGCACCGGTTCAGGACCTCGACAGCCTCCTTAGTAGCAGGTGAAAAGGAGTGACAGAGTTGGACATCATCTGCGTACAAATGACATCGCACTCCGAAACTCCGGATGATCTCGCCCAGCGGCTTCATGTAGATGTTAAACAACATGGGAGACAGTATTGAACCCTGAGGAACCCCACAAGACAAAGGTTGTGGGGTTGAACAGGAGTCTCCCAGTAACACCTTCTGAGACCGACCCTCGCGGAATGAGCGGAGCCACTGCAGAACAGTACCTCCAAGACCCATCCCCGCGAGGCGTCCCAGAAGGATACCGTGGTCGACGGTATCGAAGGCCGCTGAGAGGTCGAGCAGCACCAACAGGGACACATTCCCCCTGTCGAGCTCCCGGCGCAGATCATACACTAAGGCTGTCTCAGTGCCATGCCCCGGCCTAAAGCGAGACTGTGCCGGATCCAGATAATCCGTGTCTACCAAGAATGCCTGGAGTTGTGAGACCACCACACGTTCCAGGACTTTGCCCAAAAAGGGGAGATTGGATACTGGCCGATAGTTGAAGAATTGAGTGGGGTCCAGTGATGGTTTTTTCAACAGCGGTTTTATAACAGCTTGTTTTAAGCTGGCTGGAATGATGCCTTCCTGAAGGGAGGCATTAACCACCACCTTCACCCACTCGGCCAATCCCCCTCTGGCCTCCTTCAGAAGCCAGGATGGGCAGGGGTCTAGGATGCATGTGGTAGCTCTCGTTCCTCCAAGCACCTTGTCCACATCCTCGGATTGAACCAATTGAAATGAATCCATCAAAACCGGACAAGCAGATGCTCGTGTTACATCCTCAGAGACTGCCGTTAATATGGTATCCAGACCAGAGCGGATCAAAGCGACTTTGTCTGCAAAGAACTGAGCAAAGGCTTCACAGCGAGCTGCCGAGTCATCAGGGCACTCATCCTGCATGGTGGGCTTTAACAGGCCTCTGACAACTCGGAACAGTTCTGCCGGACGGTTCTTTGCAGACGCAATAGTGGCCGCAAAGAAGGTCTTCTTTGCGGCTTTTATTGCCGCGGCGTATGCCCTTAGAAAGGACACAAACCGTGTTCGATTTGGCTCGCTCGGATCCGAACGCCACACGCTCTCTAGTACCCTCTTCTTTCGCTTCAACGCTGCCAGCTCCTCAGTAAACCAAGGAGCTGGTTTAGCTCGGCTACTTGAGAGGGGACATTCTGGAGCAATCATGTCTATTGCCCTAGGCATCTCCCCATTCCAGAGAGCGACCAGGGCATCAACAGGATCACCAACCGCGGTGGCGGGAAATTCCCCAAGAGCCGTCAGGAATCCATCCGGATCCATAAGCCTCCTGGGGCGGACCAATTTAATGGGTCCTCCACCTCTGCGGAGGTTAGGGGGTGCAGTGAGTCTAAAGCTGACCAGGTGGTGGTCGGTCCATGGCAACGGAGAGATGGATAACTCCTCAACACCACCACCTTCCTCCCATCCCTGACAGAAAACCAAGTCCAATGTATGTCCAGCACTGTGGGTGGGGCCAGATACCTGTTGGGACAGCCCCATGGTTGCCATGGCAGACATGAAGTCCTGAGCCGCTCCCGATAAGATGGCCTCGGCGTGGACGTTGAAGTCCCCCAGCACAAGTAGCCGTTGGGACTCCAACGCCAGGTCCGAGACCACCCCCGCTAGCTCAGTCAGGGAGTCCGTAGTGCAGCGAGGTGGACGGTACACTAACAGAATCCCTAAACTGTCCCGGTCACCCACCCTCAGGTGGACGCATTCAAATTTTGTTGACTGCGGGATGGGGCCCTGGTCAGACGAATGGAATCTCTATAGACCACTGCAACTCCGCCTCCCCGCCCTCCAGGTCTCGACTGGTGCTGTACGGAGAATCCTGGCGGACAAAGCTGGGTCAAATTAACTCCTCCAGCTTCATCCAGCCAGGTCTCCGTAATGCACGCCAGATCTGCCCGTTCATCCAGGATCAAATCCTGGATGAAAGCTGTTTTACCATTGACTGATCTGGCGTTCAACAGCACCACCTTCAACCCGGCGGGACCGCCTTCTTGGTTACACCAACTTCCCACATCAGGAGACCGCTTTGGAATTACTAATGTTGATCCACGTTCCCTAGGCCGAATTAAAGGTCTCCCTTTCCCGTATCTCCCCCTCCCCACCACGTAATGTATTGTATTACATGTAATACATAAAATATAATTAATATATTGTATGATTATTATTGATATTATATTGTATTATATTATATTAATATCAATATAATATGTATTTACAATATATTATATTATTAGCATAGCACAATATTAGCATTATATATAATTACTATATTGTACTACACCACTGTACTGCAATATTACTAGTAATATTACCTGTAATCTAAAATATATAATAATTATATTATTATATTGTATTACAATATTATGATCAATATTATATGTACATACAATATATTATAATTATTAGCATAGCACAATATTAGTATTATATGTTACTATATTGTATTATACCACTTGACTGCAATATTATTAGTAATATTACATGTAATATAAAATAAATTATTATATGTATTTATTATTTTATTTATTTATTTTAATTTATATATTTACTAGCTATACCCACCACGCGTTGCTGTGGCCAACCTTCCCTCGCTCTTTCTCTTTCTTTCCTCCTTCCTTCCTCCCTCTTTCTTCCTTTCCCTCTTTTTCCTTCCTTCTTTCTTCCTTCTCTACCTGTTTCTTTTCTCCTTCCTTGCTTCTTTGGTTCCATCCTTCCTTGTCTCTTTCCTTCCTTCCTCCCTCTTTCTCTTTCTTCCTTCTCTCCTTCCTTCCCTTCTTTCCTTTTTTTTCCTTCTCTCCTTCCTTCTCTACATTTCTTCTCCTTCCTTTCCTTCTTTCTTTCCTTCCTTCTCTCCTTCCCTTCCTTCTTCTCTTTCCTTCCTTTCCCTTCCCTTTCCTTCTTTTTCTTCTTCCTTCCCTTTCCTTCTTTCTTTCCCCCCCTCTCTTTCTTTCTTCCCTCCTTCCCTCCCCTTTCTGTGTATGTTTGTGTGTGTATATGTATTTGTGTATATGTGTATACTATATATGTGTGTTTGTATATATATGTGTGGTTTTGTGCGTGCATTGCAATGTATTTTTTTTTTTGGCTTTTAAGTCTTCTGCTGTGTTTTTTAGTGTTTTTATGAGTGATGGTCACTCGTTGGCCTGATAGGTGTATTGTGTCCAAATTTGGTGTCAATTCGTCCAGTGGTTTTTGAGTTATGTTAATCCCACAAACGAACATTACATTTTTATTTATATAGATATGCCATGGTGTTTAAGGTCAGAGGCATTCCTACTCTGGTGTACGAAACTGTCCCTGTTTTGGGTTCCTTACAATTTCCAAGCAGCAACTATGCAAAAGATGTGAGGACTTTTGGGAGCTCCGAGTTAGAATGGCCTCACAATCAGTGAGAAAGAAAAAGATCCTCCAAAGTAAGCATGCGTCAGAAAGCATACGCCAAATTCAGCTACATGCGTGACCTGCGTTATGCGCCGTGGTGGCTGCCTTGCGGGCTTTGCCTTTCGGTACCGGAGGTAGCAACTCGACTTCTTCCTGCGGCATCTGCGCCACTTTCTGCAGGAAAATCTTCTCCAACGCTTGGGCCATGAGGACGATGTCGTCCGTTGGCTGAAATAAAGTAAGACAAAGGAGGCAGAGTGTAAATTCATATTTTATATCAAAACAGGACTATTATCTTTCTGAGAAAAGCCCAGAATAGAATCTGGTCCTAAGAATTTTGCATAAGGGAGGCTCCGGCTGTAATATGGAGAGCACATAAGGCAGCTTCAGTGTTCAATTGTTTCTATGATCAATACTGGGCTCTAACAATTAATTCAATATTATTTGGAGGCTTTACTTTTTAAAGAAACCATATAATTCACACTCCTATGTTAAAGTTTGGGGCAGAATAAGCTATCCAACCCTCAAAGGTAAGGCCTGCATTGCTGTAAAGCGCTTAGATCCTTACCTTATTATAAATGTAACAGTTTGTAAACATGGTGTTGAAATCCTGCATACATTCACTGGCGCTCCAGTAATAGTTGTGCTCCAGCCGCTTCTTGATCGTCCCCATGTCCATCGGGTTCTTAATGATTTTGTGATAGTCCTGGGAAAAGGAAAAGAATCACACAGCATTTCTATTGTTGTCATGCACAAAAGAACGACAAAAATTATACGATTTCAGGGATCATACAATCAAAAGTTTCTGGTGGTTAACCTGACATGATAGGAGTTGTAGTTCTCCCACAACCTTATGCATTTTGTAGAATTAACAATGACTTTTTCAAATCACTTGGGTAATGCTGGGTACCCAAGCTAGAATAACAACAACAACAACAACAACAGGAAAAGCTGACATGATATGAGGATTTAAAGATCGAATTGCAAAGACTCTGGCACAAACCAGTCAAGGTGGTCCCAGTGGTGATCGGCACACTGGGTGCAGTGCCTAAAGACCTTGGCTTGCACTTAAACACAATTGGTGCAGACAAAATTACCATCTGCCAGCTGCAAAAGGCCACCTTACTGGGATCTGCCATTATTTGCAGATACATCATCACAGTCCTAGACACGGGAAGTGTCCGACGTGTGATCCAATACAACAGCCAGCAGAGTGTCTGCTGTGGTACTCACCTTGTTGTGTTTCAAATAATAATAATATTTATTTTATCCAATACAAAAGCTAGCAGAGTGTCTGCTGTGGACTCATCTTGTTATTCATCAACAATCCTAACACTTGGGAAGTGTCCGAATGTGTGATCCAATACAACTGCCAGCAGAGTGATCTTGTCTGCTATGGACTCATCTTGTTGTGTTTCAAATAATAACAACAACAACAACAACAATACATCACACAATCCTAGACACTTGGGAAGTGTCCGATGTGTGAACTCATCTTGTTGTGTTTCAAATAACAACAAATAACAATACAAATACAATAATAATAATAATAATAATAATATAATGATCCAATACAAAAGGCAGTAGAGTGATCTTGTTTGTTGTGTACTAATCTTGTTGTGTATCTAATAATAATAATCATCATCATCATCATCATCATCCAATACAACAGCCATCAGAGTGATCTTGTTTGCTGTGGACTCATCTTGTTGTGTTTCAAAAAATAATAATACATCACACAGTCCTAGACACTTGGGAAGTGTCTGGCGTGTGATCCAATACAACAGCCAGCAGAGTGTCTGCTGTGGACTCATCTTGTTGTGTAATAATAATAATAATAATAATAATAATAATAATAATAATAATAATAATAATAATAAATAATAATGAAGCCAGCAGAGTGATCTTGTTTGCTGTGTACTCATCTTGTTTGTTTCTAATAATAATATAATAATAATAATAATAATAATAATAATAATAATATAATACAGCCAGACAGAGTGATCTTGTTTGCTGTGGACTCATCTTGTTATGTTTCAATAACAACATAATAATAATAATAATAATAATAATCCAATACAACAGCCAGCAGTATCTTGTTTGCTGTGGACTCATCTTGTTGTGTTAATAATAATAATAATAATAATAATAATAATAATAATCCAATGCAACAGCCAGCAGAGTGATCTTGTTTGCTGTGGACTCATCTTGTTGTGTTTCTAATAATAATAATAATAATAATAATAATAATCCAATACAACAGCCAGCAGAGTGACCTTGTTTGCTGTGGACTCATCTTGTTGTGTTTAATAATAATAATAATAATAATAATAATAATAATAATAATCCAATACAACAGCCAGCAGAGTGATCTTGTCTGCTGTGGACTCATCTTGTTGTGTTTCTAATAATAATAATAATAATAATAATAATAATAATAATATAATAATAAATACAAAAGCCAGCAGAGTGATCTTGTCTGCTGTGGACTCATCTTGTTGTGTTTCTAATAATAATAATAAATTTTATTTAAATCATCATCCAATACCACAGCCATAATAACAATCCAATACAACAGTCAGTAGAGTGATCTTGTCTGCTGTGGACTCATCTTGCTGTGTTTCAAATAACAACAATAATAGTAATAATAATAGACACCCACTGGCTTGATTTTTGGCAAGTCCCACACTCTCCGCCTCAGAGATAGACATGAAAAATAAAGAGAAAACAAGACACAACCACAGTTTGTTCGTCCAAACTATAGTTGGGAGTTGCATCTGAATCAGAGCTTGCTTGATTACAAGACAGAAGAGTACTCACAGGTAAGTTCAGCTTAATGGCGTCAACCGGCTGGTAGAAGGGCCAGGCAAACTGGTGCTTCCACAGCGTCTTCACCACGACGTTCTGCATGTACTGGAGCTGGTTGGTCTTCCGGCCGGGCTTGGCCGGGTTGGTCACCTCAGGGGGCGGCGGGTTGGCAGGGCCCTGAGGGGCCTGGGTGGCCGAGGCGACGGCAGACATGTCCCCCTCTGCCTCTCGGTCTCACTTCCGCTCAAGGTGAGGGTGAGGAGGAGGAGGAGGGCAGCAGGAGCAGCCGGGACAGAGAAACGGGCCACCGTCGTCCTTTACAAGCCCCGGACGAGAATGACATCCCATTTCCAGAGGCCAGCCATAAAGCCTGGAAGAAGAGGAAGAGAACTCACTTGGGGGACCAACTCCAGTGTGAACATCCTTGTGTTTTCTTAGGCAAGGAACCTAAGGGGGTTGGGCTAGATGGCCCACGTGGTCTCTTCCAACTCTATTATTCTACGAGTTTGCCATTGCTTCCCACTAAAAGAGGAGCCTCGGTGGCGCAGTGGGTTAAACTGCTGAGCGGCTAAACTTGCTAATCGAAAGATTGCCCGCCCGAATCTTTCTTAATTCTGTTTTTAAGGCTTATTATGTGTTAGGTTTTAATTTACCTAGTATTGTTAAGAGAATTATTATTAGTAGTAGCAAGCAAGATATTATTATTAATAACAACAGTCTACTTTTAATAATAACAATAAGGTTTGCTTTTAACAATTCCAGGATGATGATATTAATAACTTTTACATCTTGTAGAATTAAAATAATATCATATATATTTAATATAATGTAATATAATATATATATTACATTATATTACATTAATATAATATATAATTAATATAATATAATAATAATAATAATAATGTTTGCTTTTAACAATTCCAGGATGATGACATTAATAACTTTTAAATCTCGTAGGAGAATTAAAATAATATCATATATGTTTAATATAATGTAATATAATATATATTACATTATATTACATAAATATATAATATAATTAATATAATATATAATATAATGTGATATAATATATGGAGCCCCGGGTCGTGCAGTGGGTTAAAACACTGAGCTGCTGAACTTGCTGACCTAAAGGTTGGCAGTTCAGATCCAAGGAACGGGGTGAGCTCCCACTGTTCGCCCCAGCTTCTGCCAACCTAACAGTTCGAAAACATGCAAATGTGAGTAGATCAATACGCAGCGGGAAGGTAATGCTCCATGCCGTCATACCGGCACATGATCTTGAAAGTGTCTATGGAGAACGCCGGCTCCCACCCCCAGTCGGACACGACTGGACTTAATGTCGGGGGGGGGGGACCTTTACCTTTACTCCCACTAAAAGACAGCATACAATGTCGGGTATTCCTTGACATTCTCTCGTCCAAGTCCTCATCCAGTGAAAGCTCCTTCTTTGAACAGAAGCAGGATGTCTATCTGTCAGGAGTGCTCTGATTCTGATTTTTTTGAATGGGGGCCTGTACTAATTCCCCATGTGGTCGCTTCCAAATCTACTATTCTATATTGAAAAGCTTCTCGTTTGTGGCAACGCAGCAAAGGGACACTGTGAGTGAAATAATAATAATAATAATAATAATAATAATAATAATAGAACTTTATTTATACCCCGCCACAATCTCCCCAAGGGACTCGGAGCGGCTTACATAGGTCAAGCCCAACAACACATTAATCAAAACAATAAGCAATAAGCAAAATAAACAATACAATTAATATAACTCAGACATAGACAATAACCCACAAGGATTTAAAAACCTATGGCCGGGCCAGATGTAGTAGTTAAGACTTTAAAAATAAATCCTGGATATGAACAGAGGATGTATCTATCTAGTAGGAGGGTTTTAAACCAAAAGTAGAGAGCAACCCAACGGGTAATTAAAGTGCTTCTCAGGATATTTTGCAGGGGATTGTTTCCTTTATTCAGGGAAGGCACACTGGAACAGCCACGTTTTCAGGCTCCTCCTAAAGACTGCCAATGTGGGGGATTGTCTGATATCTTTGGGGAGTGAGTTCCAGAGATGTGGGGGCCACCACAGAGCACTGGCATAACATCAGAGATCACATATGGCTTTAGCTCACACTTAGATCACCGGGATTGTGGCGCAGCTGGCTGAGTGTCAGCTGCATTAAGATCACTCTGACCAAAAGGTCATGAGTTCGAAGCCAGCCCGGGTTGGAGTGGGTTTCCAACCAGTTGTGTAGCCTGTTGTCGACCTTTGCAACCCGAAAGACAGTTGCATCTGTCAAGTAGGAAAATAAGGTACCACCTTAAAGTGTGGGGAGGCTAAATTAACTGATTTATGAGGCCATAAAAAAGACTCCAGCAAAGCATTCCAGCGGGGAAGCATGCGGGGAATGCGGAAGTGCTTCATCAGCGTCACAGATGGACAATGAAAGCGACAGAAAAGTTAAATAGCCTCTGTATATGTTTGTATGTCAAAAATTGGCATTGAATGTTTGCCATATATGTGTACACTGTAATCCGCCCTGAGTTCCCTGCGGGGTGAGAACGGCGGAATATAAAAGCTGTAAATAAATAAATAATAAATAAATAATATGGGGTCTCATCATTATCCTACCCATGTGTTTTTGGATATGTCGTAGTTCTGCCCTCTTTGAGATCTGGGGATTCTGCTGAACTGCAAAACAGTGAGTTGAGTTTTATTTTTAGTCGAAAGTGGCAGATGGAAACAAAACCCACAGAGCTGGACTCGCAAGGCCAGAGCAAGGAGTCCCACAGAGAACTTCACTTTTGGTGGCCTCCCACCGATGCCTACGTTTCTTCCATACTGACCTCAAGAAGGAAAACCTTCACACGAAGCATCCAAATACCACAATGGATAGCGTACGTCTGGTGGGGTAGCTGTGAAATGTGGCCCAAGCCCCGTCAAGTAACCAAGAGAAACATTTTGTGATGCGAACCATAGATTGTGACATTACAGAGGCAACGGCGAATCAGAAACTGTAGTTTCCTTCCCATTGGAATCATTGGCTTTTGACATTTGGGCATTATCTGTATTGGAGAAACACATCTTCTGTGCAGATAATAACATTTCTAGGTGGAAGCACAATTTAAATGCCAAAATAGCGGGTTTCTGTACAGAAAATGCCAGTTTTAAATGTAATCCACCACTTGCAAATTTATGGGGGGGTTGAAGGCTTTCATGGCCAGAATCACTGGGTTGCTGTGAGTTTTCCGGGCTGTATGGTCATGTTTCAGAAGCATTCTCTCCTAACGTTCCACCTAGATCTATACCAGACATCCTCAGAGGTTGTGAGGTTTGTTGGAAACTATGCAAGGGAGGTCTATATATCTGAGGAATGTCCAGAGTGGGAGAAAACACTCTTGTCTGCTTTTTTTTTTTATCGTGTCAGGAGTGACATGAGAAACTGCAAGTCGCTTCTGGTATGAGAGAATTGGCTGTCTGCAAGGACATTGCCCAGGGGACACCCGGATGATTTGATGTATAATATAATGATATAATATGATGTTATATAATATATTGTATATACATATAATTATAATATTGCAATGTAATGCAATATAATACTAATACTAATAATATTATATAATTATATATTTATATTACATATAATATTACTAATAATATTACAATATAACGGTGCAGTACAATATTGTAATATATAATGCAGATATTGTACTATGCTAATAATATAATATATGCTTATATATCTTGTAAGCCACTCTGAGTCCCCTTCGGGGTGAGAAGGGCGGCATATATATGTCGTAAATAAAAATAATAAATAATAATAATGCTTCTGGGATATGGCCAGACAGCCCGGAAAACTCACAGATACTCAAACTCATGGGGGTCGCCATAGGTTAACGTAAGTGACTTGGTACATATACAATACATGCTACTTTTTAATTTTGTGACTCAGTTGTTTTCTGTGAGTAAATAAATGCAGTAATCAGCCATGTGTGTTTATATAAACATGCAATGACAACAACAACAGATGCTAGTTTGTTTCGGCTGCATGTCTTTGGATTCCTGTGTGAAACCAAGAAAGCATTTTTCACCTTTTCACTCTGAATCAGCCAAACAAGATCTTTCAAGGATTTCTGGGCTCTTTTACAAAACCATCCTTCCACAGCTGAGAAAACAAATATATCCAACTCCCACACATCTCTTCCCAAATCTTCTGTGAACCAAGGTCAAAACGCCACCTGATACTTACTACTGCTGTATATTTATAAACCCTACAATGCTGTTTTAGATATGATACTATACAATAGTCAAATAATAGAATCCTAGAGTTCGAAGAGACCTCGTGAGCCATCCAGTCCAACACCTCTCTACCAAGAACAGGAAGATCACATTTAAACCATCCCAGACAGATGGCCACCCAGTCTCCAAAGAATGGAACCTCCACCACACTCCAGGGCAGAGATAACACTGCTGAAGAGCTCTCACAGTCAGGAAGTTCTTCCTCATGCTCAGGTGGAATCTCCTTTCCTGTCCTTTGAAGCCATTGTTCCGCGTCCTAGTCTCCAGGACAGCAGAAAACAAGCTTGCTCCCTCCTCCCTATGACTTCCCCTCACATATTTATACATGGCTATCATGTCTCCTCTCAGCCTTCTCTTCTGAAGGCTAAACATGCCCAGCTCTTTAAGCCGCTCCTCATAGAGCTTGTTCTCCAGACACTTGATCATTTGAGTCACCCTCTTCTGGACAAATTCTAGCCTTGGCCTTTGTAAGCCGCATCGAGTCCTTCGGGAGATTTTGCGGGATATAAATAAAGTTAATAATAAATAATAATAATATAATTAGAGTCAAGTTCAACAGGGACGAATGCAAAATACTCCACTTGAATGAAAATGACACAGAATAGGGAATGAAGCCTGGCTCGACAGCAGTACACATGGAAAAGATCTTCGAGACCTCGTGGGGAGGAAGGTGAACATAAGCCAACAGCTAAAAAAGCCATGCAGCAGCTAAAAAAGCCAATGGGATTTTGGCTTGTATCAATAGGAGTCTAGCACCTAGATCCAGGGACGTCATCCTCTGCTTGGATATCAGGCAGCACGCCAATATCTTACATCAAGAAACACTTTCCTAAGATCTACATACTCGCAGAAAAATTTCAGCAAGTGAGAGTCCAAAAGTGGCAGGCTAAAACCCAGAACCTCAATCCATGTCTGATACCTGGGCACACAGAAGACGGCGCGACCTGAAAGGTGCTGAACAGACTGCACTCTGGCACCATGAGATGCAGAGCCAACGTTAAGAAATGGGGCCACAAAGTGGAGTCCATGACATGCGAGCGCGGAGAAGAGCAAACCACAGACCACCGACTACAATGCAGCCGGAGCCCTGTGAAATGCATAGTGGAGGACCTTCTTATCACAATACCAGAGGCACTCCAAGTGGCCAGCTACTGGTCAAAGGAAATTTAATATAATACCAAGTTTTTAAATAGATAAAAACTGTTCCCTTGGTTTGCTTCTGACACAATAAATAAAGTAGTATTATATTTAATATATTAGTATTAATATATATACTACTATTATAGTATTATTATAATATAATATATTATTATAATGCTAATATAATAATATATTCTATTAGTACTATTATATATTATTATATTGTATTATTATTGGTATTATACTGTATTACATTATATTATTATTGTGTAGTCTTTATTAGAATAGTACAATGAGTATTATATAATATATTGTACTATACCACTATACTCCAATATTAATTATAATACATAATATACAATTATTACATTATTATATTGTATTATAGGATTATACCACAATATATATAGTTCACTACCAGTATATTATACTACTAGCCATCCCCTGCCACACGTTGCTGTGGCCTAGTCTGTGTATATGTGTTTTGTGTGTGTATATAGGAGTGTATATATTTTTGTATATGTATATATATGTAATTTTGTGCATGCATTGTCATGTATTTTTTTTAAAAAAATTTTGCTTTTAGAGTCTCTTCTGCTGTGTTTTTCAGTGTTTTTATGAGTGATGGTCACTTGCTGGCCTGACAGGTGTATTGTGTCCAAATTTGGTGTCAATTCGCCCAGTGGTTTTTGAGTTATATTAATTCCAAAAACGAACATTACAGTTTTATTTATATAGATAATAATACATAATTATTATATTATTATATAAATTATTATATTGTACTATAGGATTATACCTCAATATATATAATACACAACCGGTATATTATACTATTAGTGTTACATATTTATGTGTATGTATATCATGCTCCTTAGTAACCTCTAAACTGGACTACTGCAATATACTCTACATGGGGCTTCCCTTGAAGACAGCCCGGAAATTTCAATTGGTCCAACGTTCGGCAGCCATACTACTAACTGGGGTGAATTACAGGGAGCAGTCAGCCCCTCTGTTTCAGGAGCTCCATTGGCTGCCATTCATAATCGCATCTTCATAATTGCATCTCCTTCCACAAACCTGCAGGTTCCCTCTGATCCTCAGGGGAGACCCTCCTCTCACAGGCACGACTTGTGGGAACGAGGGAGAGAGCCTTCTCCGCGGTGGCCCCCTGGCTATGGAACTCGCTGTCTGGTGAGATTAGGCAAGCCCCTACACTAGCAGCCTTTAAGAAAGATCTAAAGACTTGGCTTTTCCAATGTGCCTTTGGAGAGTGGCTATATATCCCAGTCCTGTTGTTTCACCTACACCGCTTCCCTCATATTGCACTTTCCCCCACCTTATTGAAAGTCTAAGTCCACTGTTCAGTCCCCTATGAACTCCTCCCCCACAAATGTACCTTTTCATTGCTCTCTCTTTACGGCTTTCTATGCCGCCCTTCTCACCCTGAAGCGGGCTCAGAGCGGCTTACAAGATATATTTTCATACAATATATTATATTATTAACATAGTACAATATCAGCATTATATATTACTATATTCCACTATACCATTATATCGTAATATTATTAGTAATATTACATGTAATATAAAATATAATATAATATAAAAACAAATTATAATTATACTATTGTATTATTATTACTAGTATTGTATTGTATTACATTATAATATTATAAATATATGTATATACAATATACTATATTGTATATACTATATTATATTATTATATTATATTATTAGTAAAGAAAAGATGGAACTGTCTTCTGTTCCCCTCTGTCTTCACTCTGGCTATTATATGGACATACATAAATATAATAGAGCAGCAGTTGGTGCCAGAGTGGGGGGGGGGGGGGTTATTTATTTTATTGTGATGTTATTTTGTTGTTTATATTTTATGTTGCTGCATTAGATTATTGTGTAGTCTTTATTAGCATAGTACTATGAGTATATTTTATATTGTACTATACCACTATACTGCAATATTATTAGTAACAATACATGTAATATACAATATACAATTATTATATTATTATATACATTATTGTATTGTACTATAGGATTATACCTCAATATATATAATACACTACCAGTATATTATACTACTAGCTGTTCCCTGCCATGCGTTGCTGTGGCCCAGTCTTTGTAGATGTGTTTTGAGTGTGTATATATTTGTGTTTATGAGTGTGTGTTTTGAGTGTGTATATATTTGTGTTTATAAGTGTGTGTTTGCGTATATATATGTGGTTTTGCGCATGCGTTGTAATGTACTTTTTGGGGTTTTTTTTTTTGCTTTTTAAGTCCCTTCCGCTGTGTGTTTTCAGTGTTTTTACGAGTGATGGTCACTCGTTGGCCTGATAGGTGTTTGTGTCAAAATTTGGTGTCAGTTCGTCCAGTGGTTTTTGAGTTATGTTAATCCCACAAACGAACTTATTCAGTGTTTTTATGATGATGGTCACTTGTTGGCCTGATAGGTGTATTGTGTCCAATTTGGTGTCAATTCGTCCAGTGGTTTTTGAGTTTATGTTATTCCACAAATGAACATTTATTTTTATTTATGAGTGATGGTCACTCGTTGGCCTGATAGGTGTACTGTGTCCAAATTTGGTGTCAATTCGCACAGTGGTTTTTGAGTTATGTTAATCCCACAAATGAACATTACATTTTTGTTTATATGGATGGTCACTTGTTGGCCTGATAGGTGTATTGTGTCCAAATTTGGTGTCAGTTCATCCAGTGGTTTTTGAGTTCTCTTAATCCCACAAATGAACATTACATTTTTATTTATATGGATGGTCACTTCTTGGCCTGATAGGTGTATTGTGTCGAAATTTGCTGTCAGTTCATCCAGTAGTTTTTGAGTTCTGGGCATGTTTTGCCTGAAGAAGAGAAGGCTGAGAGGAGACATGATAGCCATGTATAAATATGTGAGAGGAAGCCACAGGAGGAGGAGGGAGCAAGCTTCCTTTCTGCTTCCTTGGAGACTAGGACGCAAGGGAACAATGGCTTCAAACTACAAGAGAGGAGATTCCATCTGAACATGAGGAAGAACTTCCTGACTGTGAGAGCGTTCAGCAGTGGAACTCTCTGCCCCAGAGTGAGGTGGAGGCTCCTTCTTTGGAAGCTTTTAAACAGAGGCTGGATGGCCATCTGTCAGGGGTGATTTGAATGCAATATTCCTGCTTCTTGGCAGAATGGGGTTGGACTGGATGGCCCAGGAGGTCTCTTCCAACTCTTTGATTCTATGATTCTAAATATTTAAGGCATGGACAGTTTACTTCATGGATTGTATTACTTGTTTATTACTTAATGTTTGCCTTTTTGTGCCTGTGCGCCGCCCTGAGTCCACACGGGGAGATTGGGGGCGGGATAGAAATAAAGTTGTGTTATTGTTGTGTGAGCCACGCCACATGCACAATGGAGGACCTCCTCGCAGCCACAACAGAGGCACTCCAAGTGCCCACAGTAAATTTAGCATCATACCAAGTTTACCACTTTCTTTGTGCTTTCTAATGCATCCTAATTGTATTCCCAATCTGCTTCTGACGCCATAAATACACACATTATTGTGTAGGCTTCTTCCCAGCCTCTACATCCGGGTCCTGGAAGCGCCAAAACATCGGCTTGGATCAGCAACTGCGAGAGACCCACCCCCCACAGGCCTGCTTTTGAGGCCGGCTCAGGAGAGAGGGAGCCCGGCCAGCGCCACAAATCGAGCCCCCGGCTTCGGCGAAGATGGCGGGCCTCCCTTCTCCTTTTGTTTTCCTTCCCCTCCGCGGCCCCCCGCCGCTCCCCTCCCCTCCCCGGCCTTTCCCGCTTACTTCGCCCTCCTCGGCTTCCTCCTCCTCGGCTTCCAAATCCTCCTCTTCCTCCTTTATTTCCTTCCTCTCCTTGTCTTCTTCCCTCTCTCTTTCTCAGCGGCAGCGATGCGCTAGCGGGAGCCAGCCAGGCGCCACCGCGCATGTGCCGCCCGCCTTGGGCGCGGGGCTACCTGGGAAATGGAGTCCTTTAGTCCCATTGGTTTAAAAGACCAACCGGGAGCAAGAACTACAACTCCCAGAGGGCAACGCGCGCAAACTTCCTCCATCCTCCTCCCCCTCTTCCTTCCTTTCTTTCTCTCTATGAGAAGGATCCAACATTAGGATTTAAATATAGATTGAAATCTTTTGCATCTAGATGTATCTTGAAATAATAATAATATTGTAATATAGTAATAGTAATATATTAAATATATACTATATAATAATAATTATATAAAATATTATGTAATAAATCTTTTGCATATAGATGTATATTGAAATAATAATAATAATATTGTAATATAGTAATATATTAAATATATACTATATAATAATAATTATATAAATATTATGTAATGTATATAATGTGTAATTTACAAAATCTTGTCTAGTTGCCATCTTGGTTCAAAACAGTATATTATTATATATTTTCAGTAGTATTATATATATATATTAAATATAATACTACTGAAAATATATAATAATATACTGTTTTGAATCAAGATGGCAACTAGACAATTTTATAAATTACATATTATATATATTATATAATATTTTATATAACTAATATATTATTATATAGTAACTAGATAATATATAGTAACTACACGGTATATAGTAACTAGACAGACTGATTTTATAAATTACATATTATATACATTATATAATATTACATTACATAATATATTACTATATTTTATATAATTACTATATTATTATCTGATATATACTAATATATAATATAAACTAGGCAGACTGATTTTATACATTACATATTATATTCATTACATAATATTTTATATAATAATTATTATATAGTAACTAGTAACTTACTTACTTACTTACTTAGGCGATCCCTCGCTTTCCGAAGATGATTGTCTTCCAATATTCTTGTGGGTCCGTATGTGGCTGTGGAGCCCTATTCTTGCTCTGCATCTTCTCCCGCAGTGAGGGCATTGGTTTCCAGGTGGAAGGCGGTCTCGGTCGGGGTTGGCTTGACGCGCCTTCCTCTTGGCACGTTTCTCTTTTTCACCCTCCACTCGTGCCTCCTCAAATTCTGCAGCACTGCTGGTCACAGCTGACCTCCAGCTGGAGCGCTCAAGGGCCAGGGCTTCCCAGTTCTCAGTGTCTATGCCAGAGTTTTTAAGGTTGGCTTTGAGCCCATCTTTAAATCTCTTTTCCTTGTCCACCAAACATTCCGTTTTCCGCTCTTGAGTTCGGAGTAGAGCAACTGCTTTGGGAGACGGTGGTCGGGCATCCGGACAACATGGCCGGTCCAGCGGAGTTGGTGGCGGAGGACCATCGCTTCAATGCTGGTGGTCTTTGCTTCTTCCAGCACGCTGACGTTTGTCCGCTTGTCTTCCCAAGAGATTTGCAGGATTTTCCGGAGGCAGCGCTGATGGAATCGTTCCAGGAGTTGCATGTGATGTCTGTAGACAGTCCACGTCTCACAGGCATATAGCAGGGTTGGGAGGACAATAGCTTTATAGACAAGCACCTTGGTATCCCTACGGATGTCCCGGTCCTCAAACACTCTCTGCTTCATTCGGGAAAATGCTACACTCGCAGAGCTCAGGCGGTGTTGTATTTCGGTGTCGATGTTGACTTTGGTGGAGAGGTGGCTGCCAAGGTAGCGGAAATGATCAACATTTTCTAATGTTACACCATTAAGCTGTATCACTGGCATTGGAGAGGGGTTGGCTGGTGCCTGCTGGAAAAGCACCTTGGTTTTTTCAATGTTCAATGACAGGCCGAGCTTCTCGTATGCTTCTGCAAAGGTGTTGAGAGTGGCTTGTAGATCTTCTTCTGAATGCGCACAGACGACGTTGTCATCAGCATACTGGAGTTCTATAACAGATGTTGTTGTAACCTTGGTTTTGGCTTTCAGTCTGCTGAGGTTGAATAGCTTGCCATCTGTCCGATAGATGATTTCCACTCCGGTGGGAAGCTTCCCATCAACAAGGTGAAGTATCATAGTGATGAAGATGGAGAATAGAGTTGGGGCAATAACACATCCCTGTTTGACACCCGATTCCACCTTAAATGGGTCACTTTGGGAGCCACTGCTGTCCAAAACTGTTGCCATCATGTCATCATGGAGGAGCCGCAGGATGTTCACAAATTTGTTTGGGCACCCGATTTTTTGGAGGATGGTCCAGACAGCGCTGCGATTCACTGTGTCGAATGCCTTTGCAAGGTCAATGAATGCCATGTACAGAGGTTGATTTTGTTCTCTGCATTTTTCTTGGAGCTGTCGTGCAGTGAAGATCATGTCCACGGTCCACTACCTCCGCTAGTAACTATATAGTATATAGTAACTAGACAGACTGATTTTATAAATTACATATTTATGTTTTGTATATTACATGTATTGTTACTAATAATATTACATATTACATATGAGGCGGGTTAAACCCCTGAAACTCCATCAATACTTAAAGTTTGTTGTGTTGGGTAAGTCTGCTCTAGATGCATCATTGGTAGGGTTCAGTGTGCTCTGCAACTCCAGGAGGAATTACAACTCTCATCATGGTGGGTCAGTCCCATCAAATCCCTCCAGTAGGCTGTTAGGAATTGTGGGAATTGAAGTCCAAAACACCTGGAAGGCCCAAGTTTGCCCACGCCTGGTGTAGATTTAGCCTAGAATAGCCGTTATTTTGAGTGGGTCGAAAGAATCACACAATGAGCCTGGCTTGCTAATTCCTACCTTGCCTTTTATTTCTGACAGTCTGAATCACAAATAATAATATTACTTTCTGGAAAATAATGGTTCGCTCACAAGTCCTTTCAATCAGCACCTGATACATCCCTTGCTGCATGATAGCGCCATAAGCTTGAAGCTCAGGTGGCAATTAAATGCCCTGCTTAATTGTCTGGGGAGAATGGGATCGCCAGTTATGTTTCCTGGCAGCACTCCTATGCGCTTATAACAGATGTGCCCCAAGCATGCCATTAAAAATACATTTTTTTCTATTTGTTTCTTCTTGCAAAAGCAAGTCACTGTCCATTTTCTCATGTCGAGTCAGTGTTGAACCTGACTCAGCACACAGAAATTGGTTTTGAAAGGATGCAGATTACAGGAGCTGTCTTCATAGACCTGTCAGCAGCTTATGACACTGAAAATCATCACCTTCGCCTGAGAAAATTTTATAATATCACAAAGGACTATTATCTAACACGCTTCATAGGAAATCTGCGACAAAACAGGAGCTTTTTTGTTGAGTTCCAGGGCCAGAGTGCAGGTTCTTACTTACGGTTTGGGACCCGCCTACCTACGTGACCGCATTTCCGTGTACAAACCCACACAGTCTCTTTGTTTATCTGGAGAGGCCCTGCTCTCGCTCCCGCCTCCCTCGCTGGCGCGATTGGTGGGGACGAGGGAGAGGGCCTTCTCGGTGGTGGCCCCCCAACTCTGGAACTCACTTCCCACGGATATCAGGCATGCCCCAACATTGGCAGTCTTTAGGAGGAGCCTGAAATTGTGGCTGTTCCAGTGTGCCTTCCTGGACTAAGGAAATAATTCCCAGCAAGATGTCCTCAAATGCACTTTAACAATCCACTTGGATTGCGCTCCCCTCACTTCTTTAAAACCCTCCTATTAGATATATCTTTCCTGTTTCATGCCAGCGTTTATTTTTGAATTTTTAACTATTACATCTGGCCCGGCCATAGGTTTTTAAATCCTTACATGTTAATGTTTATATGTGATTTGTTTAATTGTATTGTTGTTATTTTTTGTTTATTACTTTGTTGTTTACTGAAGTGTTGTTGAGCTTGGCCTCATGTAAGCCGCTCCGAGTCCCTTGGGGAGATAGGGGGGGGGGTATAAATAAAGTTATTATTATTATTATTATTGTATTGTCGAAGGCTTTCATGGCCGGAATCACTGGGTTGTTGTAGGTTTTTTTCGGGCTATATGGCCATGTTCTAGAGGCATTCTCTCCTGACGTTTCGCCTGCATCTATGGCAAGCATCCTCAGAGGTAGTGAGGTCTGTTGGAACTAGGAAAAAGGGTTTATATATCTGTGGAATGACCAGGGTGGGACAAAGGACTCTTGCTTGCTGGAGCTAGGTGTGAATGTTTCAACTGACCACCTTGATTAGCATCTGATGGCCTAGCAGTGCCTGGAGCAAACTTTTGTTGAGAGGTGATTAGATGTCCTTGTTTGTTTCCTCTCTGTTGTTGTGCTGTTGTAATTTTAGAGTTTTTTTAATACTGGTAGCCAGATTTTGTTCATTTTCATGCTTGCCATAGATGTAGGCGAAACGTTAGGAGAGAATGCCTCTAGACCATGGCCATATAGCCCGAAAAAACCTACAACAACCCAATTATTATTATTATTATAGAGTTACACATGGTGAATACAGAAGAGCATGCTTGCTCCATCAATACATAACATTTAGACCCTGTTGGTTCTCTTGGACATCTCAGCGGCTTTTGATACCATCGATCATGGTATCCTTCTGGGACGACTCTCCGGGATGGGCCTTGGAGGTACGGCTTTGTCCTGGAGGGTTGTTCCCAGATGGTGAAGCTGGGGGACACCTGCTCAGACCCCTGGCCTTTGACCTGTGGGGTCCCACAAGGTTCCATTCTGTCCCCCATGCTTTTTAACATCTACATGAAACCGCTGGGAGAGGTCATCCAGAGTTTTGGAGTTGGGTGCCATCTCTACGCAGATGACGCTCAACTCTACTACTCTTTTCCACCTAACTCCAAGGAAGCCCCTCAAGTGCTAGACGAGTGCCTGACCGCTGTGGCTGTCTGGATGAGGAGGAACAGGCTGAAGATTAATTCCCACAAGACAGAGGTCCTCCTGGTCGATCATATAGGGTGGCAACCTGTGCTGGACAGGGTTGAACTCCTCCTGAAGTCACAGGACCACAGCTTGGGAGTCCTCTTGGATTCATCACTTACGCTTGAGGCTCAGGCGTCGGCGGTGGCCGGGAGGACCTTTGC